ACCCTGAATCCTTCGTGCCGTCCACACGATGCAGTTTATCACAGACACATGACCATGAATCCTTTCGTGCCGTCCACCAGCTGCAGCTTTATCACAGACGCATGACCCTGAATCCTTCGTGCCCGTCCACACGCTGCAGCTTTATCACAGACACATGACCATGAATCCTTCGTGCCCGTCCACACGCTGCAGCTTTATCACAGACACATGACCCTGAATCCTTCGTGCCGTCCACACGCTGCAGCTTTATCACAGACACATGACCCTGAATCCTTCGTGCCGTCCACACGCTGCAGCTTCCCAGTGCGAGAGGTGATTGTGGCTTATTTATCTGATTTTCGTCATATTGGAGGCGGTTTTGGGTCTGCAGTGCGGGCAGGGAGCCCTTCAGTGTTTAGAATGTGCCTCGCTGTGCAAACGGAATCCTCAGCTTCTGCTGCCTCCAATGTGGCTGCAGCTGTTTTCAGTCACTTGCCTCCTGGGGAATCCTGTGTCAGCGGCTGATGTCTTCCTCTTTCCTGGTGTAGCCACTGTTCCTTCAGCTATGCTCCTGCCGGGATCTCTGGGGACATTCAGTGCTTTTGATATCTTTTGTATCCTTTTGCTGCTTTGTGCGAGGATCTCTTCACTGAACGTTTTGGACAATTCTTTCGCCGCGCTGGAAAAAGGAAGAAGTTGGGCGAACGAGTAGTGGTGGTAACTGGCAATGACTGCTCATCTCATCAGGAGTAGTGTGCGAGCCAGACAGTCCAGGTATGTATGTGTTCTATGTCAAGCACACCCAATGACGGCGGTGGGACCATTTGAAGACGCTGGTCATGTGGGGGTTGAATCCGAGTGCAGTGGTCATTAAATAGCATCTTGTGACCATTGTGATACCAGTTTTCTTCAACTATCTTCTACTTTGTTTATTGCAAACGGCTGGAAAGGTTTTGCTAAAAGCCAAACGCACAGTGAGTCATTCAACATCTTTAATGTGACACAAACATCGAGACAGACTTTACTCGTTTCATCCGTCTGTGTGTTGTGTCTTAACACGGAAGTTGTATTTGAGCCCAGTTGTCAGACTGGTGGACGGCTGGTTGGACGCTGCAGCCTCCTGTTGATCCCCTTCATTCATTTATTGCTTAGTGGATCAATGTTTCATGTGGACCAAAGACACCGTGTTACATGTTGGAGACGCTCCACACAGCTGCTAGTATCCAACATTACAACCAACCCTCATTGAGTTTCCTCATATAAACAAGTTATTCTCCTAATCATCAGTATTATAATGAAGAAAACAAATGTTTTATTGTAAAAGTCTCAATCTCCAAATTCAGTAAATTATTATTAAAGACTCAACACCTTTATGGATTATTAAGTCACTAAGCTCTGTACTGACACGTTTAAAGATCCTTTTTATTTATATTTTACTGTGTGGGTGTGTATAATATATATATACATATATATATATATATATATATATATATATATGTGTGTGTGTGCATCTCGACTACAAGGCCATCAGACATCCAGGCGACCTGACGTCACATGAGTATCTTTTCTAGTCTGCTGAATGTCGTGTAGATTTTAGTGTTTGAAGTTCACTTGGTTGCTGGTTTGCTTTTGGTGCCAGTTGTTGTTCTAATATCAACTCCATGAAGCTGCTAGCGCGCCTCCTAGCAGAAAAGACTTCCTTAAACTCTGTTTGTCAGAACACCACATGGTGATTGTTCACTCATCAGGTTGTCGAGCGATTTGTGTTTTGCATTTTGAGGAGTTTCTGTCGAGGCCGATCGACCTTTTGTCTCCTAAACGGGGGAGAGGTCAGCGCTGCCGTAGCCGACTTCCACCGACGGCGGAATATTTAACTAGAGGTTCAGTGAAGCGTTAACATAACCTCGCCGCACGAAGACGAGCAGGACAAAGACCGGGGAGTCTTTCTTCCTCTTAATAACGGCCGTATCGTGCTGTGAAACCGGAGATGTGAGACTCGTAAAGGACGTAGTCAGCAGACCGATCACAGCCTGCAGGAGGTCCAGAAACTCCATCAGCACAGGAAAGACTCTCCAAAAAAAGGGAAGAGACCTTAGTGAGGACGTCAGAGGACAGAATGGACAGACTACAGTGATGTCAGAATGAACAATGTATAATACATTCAATTCAATGGTTGAAATGCACTTATTGTAAGTCGCTTTGGATAAAAGCATCAGCTAAATAACATGTGACGTGTATAAAAACAATTGTTACAACATTTACATTTTAGTTGATATGGGATCATTTTAATATCAGTGTGATGCAGCTTCCTTTTCTTACAGTCTGATGATCTCCTCACATATTCCAGCTGATAACAATCAGAACCAACCACATCAAACTTTCACTCTGGGTCCGAATGCAGCAGGAGACACTTAAGCCTTTGTGGCGTGATGTCATACATGCTAATGATTTGGGCCGTGTCATATTGTGCTGTTGGTGATGTCATCGGAGCTGCGAGGGAGCATAAACCCTCTCAGCAGATAGCGATGTCCCCGGAATGTCCCCATAGTTTCTCTGCAGTAAGGCCTCACTCTCCTGTCCAATGGTTGTGGTTCTTAGAGCCCAAAGGAGGTGGAGCAGCAGGAAGCCAGTCAGGTCCTATTGGACCAATAGGAGGTCAGTTCCCCACACCGAGACCAGTTGGAGGTCAAGAGATTTTTATTACAATTACATTCCGTGATTTGAGGCGTGTTGTTGAATGTGTGTACATGTCACTAACCGTGTGACCTCCATGGTTTCTGACAGACGCGTCTTCTGGACAGTCTCCCTCCAGTCGCGTGGCAGCCGCCCGTCATCGCCATGAAGACCCAGAAAGCCCCTCCATCCAGACCCTGTTGCCCACGGAGACGAGTTGCTCCGATTGTCCCTCGCTGTCCAAACTGTCTTCTGCAGCTTCCTCCCCATCCACCAGCACGACGCACTCCTCCCCCGGCCCCCCTCCTCCTCCTCCACCTCCTCCTCCTAGTCGCCGCAGCAATGCCCCCTCGCCGCCGTCCTCATTCGTCTTCTTATAACCGAAGAGAAACCCCTCCCCCTGATATCCTAACCACACCCTTTTCTTTCTTTACAGCAGTAAGACTTCATACCGTACCTCCGGGAGGGGAAAACACCCGCCTGCTCCTCTTTGGCCCCGCCCCCCCCACCGTATCGCATCACTAATGGCCCAACAGGTGGCGTTGCGGCAGCGGATCTGCCCCAGCGACACAACTCCCTGGGCAACAAGAGGCCTGCCCCCTCCCCCGGAGGCCACACCCCAACTCGAGGCCCCGCCCCCCCTCCTCCCCCGGCCTCCCCCACTCCCTCCCACCAGGCCGCCAACAGGCCACCGCCCCCTGTCAGAGAGACGCCGTGTAGAGGAGCAGGTGAGGTCATTGCATGACAAATGAGTAGTACTGGCGTTCCCACAATGCATTGCTGGTGTCGGATACGTACTCTGACTGGACACGTGGAGTTTGTATGTAACATGTTGGTCGGCTGTCTTCACTTTCAAATCAGTTCTCTGTGATGAATTATTGGAGTTTAGTACATTTCCTCTGAAAGGCAAATACGGTGTTTTCTGCTCTATACGGCGCATAAGATACTGCAGTCAGGAGGTGGAGACGGTGATGGATGCTGCGAGGTGCGTCCGCTCCCTCCGTCCCTTATTGTCCACGGTCACGTCTGTCTCCATTGTGGCTTCTGTCTCAAATTCTCCGTCGGCTCTTTAGGCGCCGCGTGTTTCACCTCCAGAAACAGCAGCGAGTCGTCGAATCGTTGGATCTGACGGCCAATAAAGATTTACACAATCTGACGGTTTGAATATTATTTTAAATTGTGGGCGCACTCGATGGCGACTTTTGATTTCTAAAGTAAAGTAGATTACATGGTGTCAGTTGTACACAAGTATGAGTACAATTAAACACTTGAAGAAAATACAAAATCGACTTAATTACAGTAACGTGAGTATTTGTAATTCGTTACTTCCACCCCTGCATTTTGGTGATTGTGTCAATCCGATGTGCGTTGTGACCTCGTCTGACACTCATCAGCGTGTTGAGTGACAGACGGACAGGAGACCCGCTCGTGGTCACTGTGGATCTCTCTCCTCAGCGCCTCCTGTGCCCGTCCAGGCCTCGTCTTTCAGACCGGGTGGCCGAGACGCTCCGCCTCCCTACAGGAGTCATGGTAGCCCTTCTCTCTGCTCTGACCCCCCAGCCAGAGGAAAACCTCCTCCCCCGCCCACCCGTACCCCCGCCGGCCCTCCCCCCCCTCCGCCTCCTCTCCGTAACGGACACTCCTCCGTCCCTCGCTCATTTGTCGGTGAGTCTAACGATGACGACATATCAGTAAATATCTGTTTGCTTTCACATTAAAAGCCTCCCAGCTACACCCCCATGTTGCTGGGAGGCTTTTAATGTGAGAGAAATGATCAATAAAACTGATCTGGGGTTCAACGGATCGTCAAACCCTCAAATATTCCTTGTTTCTCTAATTGCGGCTGATGTTTGATCATTGATCAGCCTGTGAACCATCACCAGTAGTTGTAGCTCAGCTCATAATAATGAACTCACAGGAAGTCAAACGGATCACAATTCATCTCATATATTTTACATTCATGTGAGAACATGTGTAGTTGTATACGTTTGCTTTCTGTTTGGTCTCCTACCTGTGACCCCTGACCTCAAGGTGTAAATGAATCCCAATGCATCGTGTGTTCTGGTCCTGCAGATGACTTTGAGTCAAAGTATTCATTCCATCCTCTGGACGACTTCCCTCCTCCAGACGAGTACCGTCACTTCGCCAAGATCTACCCCAGCAAGGCCCACCGAGGTACTGGACCCTGCACCCGAGAGAGCATAGACCAGCAGCACCTGGGCTCAACAGGATGTAGAGACAGCACATACGACCTGTCAATCAGCGTGTAGCCCCGCCCTAAAGCCTCCTCTGCTTTATGGTCTATTTGACTCTAAATGAACATCACGCTGTGTTGAAGAAGACTTGAAACTAGAGACTGAGACATAAACTCATGTTTACAATGTTTACTGAGGGAATAAATCCAGAGAGAAGTAGAGTCATTTCCTCATAGACGTCTATGGGAGCAGAGGAGTCGCCCCCTGCTGGTCACTACAGAGAAGTAGAGTCATTTCCTCATAGACGTCTATGGGAGCAGAGGAGTCGCCCCCTGCTGGTCACTACAGAGAAGTAGAGTCATTTCCTCATAGACGTCTATGGGAGCAGAGGAGTCGCCCCCTGCTGGTCACCACACAGAATGCAGCTTTATTTGTCCTTTCTTTTTTCATCAGTTTGGCTCTTCACGGTTTACTTTTATTTTTCTGCAGAAACAGACGCTCGACTCATCCCTCTGTCTGTTTGTTTCAGTGATGAGAGGAGCTCCGCCTCTGCCTCCGGTTGGGAGGTGAACTATGACACAACCTCACAGCTGGGACACACACAAGCTCCATCACATCTGATAGGACGCGGTTTTATAAGGAGAAACTTCTCCGAGATCAAAGACCCGTTTAGCCGCCATGACGTCCTGTACGAGCGCATTAGATGCTGAGGACAAGGAGTCATTTATTTACAAGATTTCCCCGTTACGTGATGAACACCACACGCTGCAGCCGAGCGTCCACTGTGTCTCTCATACTGTCTCATGTCTGTACGGTGTTGCGATGCAGAGAACATCTGGAAAGCAGCTGCATGTCGTGCTCTTTGTAAAGTTCTGTTGGTTTATTTGTCGCTTAATAAACTTCTGGATGTTCCACATTTCACTGCTTCAAATGTCTGAATATGAACGATGGATCTATAATGATTCTCACACACACATAATAAACTCCTAGTTCTATGTGGTCAGATACATACAATACATTTTGTATAAACCAAAATCGCAAATTACAAATTTGCCTCAGAGGGCTTTACAGTCTGTACACATACGACATCCTCTGTCCCGAAACCCACCAGTGAGAACGTCAGAGGATCCGTCTCCTGATGGACGACTACAATGACGTCATGAGGACACAATGAACAATGTATCATACATGAGACTATATGACAATGATTCAAGTAACTGAGTAGTAAACCAGACGCACAGCAGGACCACTGCAGGGACCACCACCATCACATAGAACCACCACCACGTAGAACCGCCATCAGATAGAACCGCCACCACACAGAACCACCATCACATAGAACCGCCACCACGTAGAACTGCCATCAGATACAACCACCATCACATAGAACCGCCACCAGATAGAACCGCCATCACGTAGAACCGCCATCACGTAGAACCACCACCACCACGTAGAACCGCCATCACACAGAACCACCATCACATAGAACCGCCACTATCAGCTAGAACCACCATCACATAGAACCACCGTCAGGTAGAACCATCATCACATAGAACCACCACCACAGAAGCCTGTGGGGAGGCAGAGCACAGAGACTTTAGGAGAGGGTAATGTTGGTTTACGAGTCCAGTAATATGATTAATATCTAAAATAATAAGATGATGATGATGATGATGATGATGGCAGCAGCAGGCGTCAGCAGGGCCACGGCAGGTGTCAGGACCAGGGTCCCGAAGGAACCACGATCTACGGAGACCTGATAGGGGAGAAAGCACAAAAAAAACTCCCGTAAGGAAGCTGAATTAGTCATGTGCATTAATAAAACGTGAATTATGGTAGAACGAGAGCGTGAGAGAGGAGCTCGGTGTGTCCTAAGAAGTCTAAGCCTGTAGCAGCTTAACTAAGGGCTGGTCCGGACTAACCTGAGCCAGCCCTAACTATAGGCACAATCACAGAGGAACGTTTTAAGTTTTACCATAAAAGAGCTGACGAATCTGCCCCCCGGACTGAAAGTGGAACCTGGTTCCACAAAAGAGGAGCTTGATAACTGAAGGCTCTGGCCCCCAGCCTACTGTTTAAAACCACAGGAACAACAAGTAACCCAGCATCTATGGAGCGCAGTTGCCTTGTAGGGCAATAAGGTGTTACAAGCTCATTAAGATACGACGGTGCCTCACCAGCAAGTGCCTTGTAGGTGAGGAGAAGTACCTTAAAATCTATTCGTGATTTAACAGGGAGCCGGTGCAGAGAAGTTAATACAGGAGTGATATGATCCCTTTTCTTAGTTCTTGTTAATACACGTGCTGCAGCATTCTGAATCAACTGGAGAGGCTTAAGAGATTTGATGATGTCATGATTGGATGAGATCACAGCTATGATGTCATCGCTCCGTCCTCCTTATTTGTTTGATTTCTGTTCAATAAAGATGTATTAAACAAAATGAAGAGAACTATGACCAGTTCAGTCCTACGTTTTTTGTTTTGACTTTTGATTCGTCAGCAGCCCGTTAACTCGTGATGTCATTTAACATTCAGACTTTAAGGCAAATAATCAGCAGATTTCATCTGAACTTATTTGAGTGAAGAAGCAGGTTTAACTTCATGCTGTTAATCAATACACTCATTCAGTTAATTCAATGGAGCAGGTTTAAAAACACAATGAAAATGAGGCAATAAAAGTGAAAACAGTTGCATCTTCATGGAGAATTTATTTTATGATGAAGAAATTAATTAAGTGTTATATACAAACCATACAAAGTGAATCATCAGTTCAAAATTGATTCTATGGTTTTATTTAATGTATCATTTAGATTTGCATTTCTGTTAGTTGTATATTATATATGCTTTAAATATATTCTGCATCATTTTAATGGTAGTTTTATTAAGAATGAATGGTGTTGTTTTGTATTTTTTGTTAATATTGTGGTTAATCATTTTCCCAATAAGGAACCAAAGTGCCCGTTTGTCCGGCAACACGAGGGGCGGACTTTTGTTGTTGCAACTCGTGAGCTCACCGGAAACACACGAAGAAGAACGCAGCTCCACACGTGCAGACAGGAACAGAGATTCTCCGTGAGCCTGCTGAAGATGGAGGACGTGATCAAGCTGCCGGGGACGGAGGACGGGAAAGCGGCCCGGAAGAGGACTCGAGCTCCGGAGGTGGACCCGCAGGAGGAAGAGGAGACGCGGCGGGCCAACGCGGAGAGGCTGTCGGTGCTGGGGGGGGAGGACGCCTCGGTGAGGCTGCTGGAGGAGCTGGTGTTCGGAGCCGAGGAGGAGCTGCTGGAGAGACTCGTGGAGGTAACAACTCACCAGACTCCGCCCACAAAACCGCTGATTTAACGTCGCGTCGAGGTCACGTGTGAACGGCATTAACACGTCACACGGTGTTGGTCACCGTTTGAATGTAGAAACTAAAAACATCACTCAGTGTGATTGCCCGAAGCCTCCTCTGACATCACTTCCTGTCGTGGAGCAGGAGGACGAGGAGGAGCAGGCCGGAGCCCTATTGGTGGAGGACGGAGACCATGTGTCATGTGACTCGGAGGATGACGGCGGTTGCGTGCAGATCAGAGAGGCTGCTTGGGTGGATGAGGATGACGAGCAGGAGGAAGAGTAAGACACATTTACATGGCTCTTATTCTGAAAGGACATTAGAGGTTCCTGTCGCACAGAAACACCACGGTAACCATAGCGATGTTATTATAGTCAATAAAAACGATTGTTTCTGTACTGTGTCAATTACCAACTCGTAGCTTTATGTTTTATTTTATTCCTGGTGCACATTGTCGTCCTGCACCGTGTGTCTGACATGTGGTAATAAATGTTTCCTGCTTCAATGTCTCAGGGTGGACATGAAGCATCGTTACCGCAAAGACCTGATGAAAGGAGAGGCGGAGTTAACGATGTCCAATCAGAAGCTGCAAGAGAGGATGAGAGCGCAGTGAGCATTCACTCACCTACTCACTCATTCACTCACTCACCCATTCACTCACTCACCCATTCACTCACTCACCCACTCACTCACCCATTCACTCACTCACCCACTCACTCACCCACCTGTACCTGTTGGTGTCAGATTTCAGAAGGTGATGGGAGGAGCTCCGTCGTGGGCCGACAGCAACGCCAAGAAGAAAAAGAAAGGTACGTTCACTTCCTGTCTCATCGACGCAGGAGGGTCTCCTAGCAACGCGCCGCCATTAAATCCCTCTGAATTCACCCGGCTTCCTACTGTCAAGATTTGAATCATTGTGTCGTAGCAATTGAACATATTGTACATTTGACACATTCATACTGATCTGATTCTCGCTGAGGTTTCTTCCTTTTCCCCCGTTGAAGGGTTTTTTATATTTGGGGAGTTTTTCCTGTGCCGATGTGAGGGTCAAAGGTCAGAGGGTGTACAAGCCGAAGCCCTCTGAGGCAAGTGTGATGTTTGAGATGAAAAGTGTGTAAATTCTGTGTTCCTGCAGCAGCAGCAGCTGATGATGATGATGATGAGGAGGAGCTCACGAGGAGGACGGGGAACTTCGTGGCGTCTTCAGATCGTTTACCCAGCGGCATCCTGAGAGTCAGTAACTTAGTTCTCAATAATACCGTTATTATCGGAAACAATTCCTTTGAGTCATGTGACCCTCTCTGTGGTCACGTGACCCTCTCTGTGGTCACGTGACCCTCTCTGTGGTCACGTGACCCTCTGGTCATGTCTCTTCTGGCTCAGATGAAGAAGTGTCTCCACGCTAACTCCTCCCGTCCTTCGGAGGACCGACTCAGCACCGTTCAGTTCCACCCCTCCGCTCAGGTGGTCTTGACGGCCGGCCTCGACCAATCGGTGTCCCTCTTCCAGGTACGCGGCGCCGCCCCCCCCCCCCCCCGTGCGCAGGCGAGGATGCAAAGGTGTCATTGCTCTTTGATCGGCCCTTCAGGTGGACGGGAAGACGAACCCAAAGATCCAGAGCATCCACTTGGACCGGTTCCCGGTCCACAAGGCCCAGTTCAGCCTGCAGGGGGACACGGTGATCGCCACCGGCCTGAAGAACAAGATGTTCTACCTGTATGACATGATGGAGGGCCGGGTCACACCTGTGCACAACGTCAGAGGTGAGGGGGGGGCAGATATACAGATCGTCTACAGGGGGGCCGAGGGTTCACCTGAAGGGACCATGAACCATGTCCCTGTCCAGGTCTCAATGAGGCGCGGGTGAAGGAGTTCTCTGTGCGTCCTGACGGAGGAGAACTGCTGCTGACTGGAACCAGCGGATACCTGCACCTCCTCACGCTCAAGGTGACTCCTCCCCCTCCTCTTCTTCTGCGCTTTGTTTTACAGTAGTTCTCATAATCTGAATGTGCTCAGACGAAGGAGGTCGTTCTCAGCTTGAAGGTCAACGGCGACGTGGTGGGCTCGTCCTTCTCTCAGGACGGCAGCAAAGTCTTTGCCAACTCGGGTAAGTCATCGACGGTCCGTGTGACTTGTCCACTTCCTGTCATGTGACTTACGTGTGCGTGTGCAGAGGACGGAGAGGTGTTTGTGTGGGACATGCGGAGCAGTCGCTGCCTCAGCAGGTTCACAGACGAAGGATGCGTCAAAGGGACGTCGATCGCCACCTCGCCTGATGGACAATATCTGGCCTGCGGGTAAGCCCCGCCCACACAGACTCCAGGTGTCCTCTAGAGCCGGTGACCGACTGCATCGATGTCCCTCTCAGCTCTCAGTCGGGCGTGGTCAACGTGTACTCCCAGGAGGCGTGTTTGAAGTCAACGCATCCCAGGCCTCTGAAAGCAGTGAAGAACCTGCTGACCTCAGCGACCTCTCTGACCTTTAACCCCTCCTCCGAGATCCTGGCCATTGCCTCGCGAGCTGAGGACGAGGCCGTACGCCTGGTAAGATGAAGATGAGGAGGAGGATGATGATGATGTATTGTATTGTGCATTTTTTATTTGAATTCCATCACATGTCACTTATCTGACACTTTTATCCAAAGCGGCTTACAATAAGAACATTTCAACCATAAGGACACAAACTCCGAAGAACAAGAACGTGTGATTTCATCAAATAAGCAGATGTACAACTTGCTGTAGATAAGAACCATTATAAGTCCAATGTAAGTGCTGCAGTTAGTTAGTGTGTTAGTGGAGGTAGAGTCTGAAGAGGTGTGTCTTTAGTCTGAAGATGTGAAGGCTCTCTGTGGTCCTGATGTCTTCAGACCTCCTTCCACCATTTAGGAGCAGGACAGCAGAGAGTGGAGATCTAGTGGAGTGTTTTGCTCTCAGTGAGGAGGAACAAGCAGTTTATCACATGCAGAGCGGAGAGTGCGGGTCGGGATGTCGGGTTGGACCAGGTCCTGGATGTAAGCTGGACTCGATCCATTCACAGCACGGTACCTGAGCACCATGTTTAGAACTGGATGAGCCACCGGTACCAGTGAAGAGAGCGGAGGAGTGGAGGAGTGAGGGAGAACTTAGGAAGGTTAAAGACCAGTGGAGCTGCTGCATTCTGGATGAGCTGCAGAGGCTGAATGGAGGTAGCAGGAGACCTGCAGGAGGGAGTTACAGTAGTCCAGGATGAGATGACAAGCGCCTGAACCAGTACCTTCTGAGTGAGAAGAGGACGTGTTCTCCTGATGTTGTAGAGCGAGTATCTACAGGATGGTGTTGTCAGTGATGTTGGAGTCAGGGAGAGTCGGCTGTCGACGTCACGCCGAGGTTCCTGCAGTCAAAGTGGACGTTAACACGGAGTCTCAAAGTTAACAGTCAGGTTCTGAGAAGGAGAATCTTTCCCCAGAAAGAGAAGTAGTTCCGTCTTGTCGGGGTTGATTTTCAGATGGTGGGCGGATCCACTGAGAGACGTCAGTCAGACAGGCAGAGATCCGAGTGAGGGAAGGAGAGAATTAGTTGGGTGTCATCAGCATCGCTGTGGTAGGAGAAGCCATGCGAGCGAATGACAGCGCAGAGAGAGTTGGTGTAGAGCGAGAAGAGGAGGGGACCCAGGACGGAACCCTGAGGAACTCCAGTAGTAGGAGGACAAGGTTCCGACACAGATCCTCTCCAGGTTACCCGGTAGGTGCGGCCGTCGAGGTAGGACGAGAGAAGGGAGAGAGCAGAGCCTGAGACACCAAGTTCCTTAAGGGAGGAAATAAGGATCTGGTGGTTGACTGTGTCAAATGCAGCAGAGACGTCCAGAAGGACGAGGACAGAGGAGAGAGGAGCTCTAGCAGCGTGGAGTTACTCTGACACAGCGAGGAGAGCAGTCTCTGTGGAGCCTTGAAGCCTGACTGGTGGGGGTCCAGGAGGTTGTTACGGTGGAGATAGGAGGAGAGTTGAATTACTGTGCTGCTACACACAAATCCCCCCAATTAATAAATGGTCTATCCTCCACCCTCTTCAGCTCCACCTACCCAGCTTCAGCGTCTTCTCCAACTTCCCCGTCTCCAAGAGGAAGATCATCTATCGAACCAGCTGCCTTGACTTCTCCCCTCACAGCGGCTTCCTCTCACTGGCTAACAACAAGGGACACGCCCCTCTCTTCAGGTGCGGCTGCTTCCGTTGCTTTTATTGACCTGCTGTTTGACGCTCTGCCGACATCACTTTCTCGCAGCTTTAAACAAATCCTTTGACACATTAACTTATTGAGCAGTGACATCACACAAGTGGCCTGTTTTCATTGGTCCAGATTTCACATCCGATTGTATCGTAATAATAATTGCTTCGTTAAACCGTGTGGGTGGGCCGAGGACAGTTGGCCCCGCCCACATGAGTTCTGCACTGCATATAAAATATATATAATCGACTGAATCAAATCTTTCAAATACTTGTCCTGATGTGTTGCCCCGGTAACCAGATAACTGAACGTCTGCTCTTTCTGGCTCCTCAGGTTGCTTCATTACAAAGACTTCTGAGGAGGACGCGTCTCTTATTTTATGCAGAAACTCTATTAAAGAACTGAAACAATTGACCGTGTCCTGTCTGTCGGTTTGATGCTTCTTGTCTCCTGGACTTGTTTGGGGGGGACTAGATAAACCGTAAATCCCAGACTAGTTGTTGAAAGATTACATTTCATATTTAGTTATTAAAAGTATTTGATTAAAAAATGTCATGATTTATCTCATGTTTCTGTGGATAAAATATTAATAACTGAACTTGCATGTTTCCTTTGTTTACTTTCGAGTTTCATGTCACACTGCAAGGCATTGTGGGTAATTAAAGTCAAGTCTTCGTCTGGTGCTGACTTGAGACTAGTTGCTCGGCGCGAGGAGCAGCGCAGGAGCCTCTCGGGCCACAGGGGGGCGGCAGAGGGCGGTCCTCCGGTGGGACGGGGTCCAGTAGGCCTGGGGGAGACTCCTGAGAGTAACATGGAGGAGGGGGGGCCGGAGCCCCGATAGGCTGCTGGATTGGACCAAAGTGGTGTCATGTGACATGTTAGTTTCTTAGAAGAAAATAAAGTTAAAAAAAAAAGTTCTCTGTCGCAGCAGCAGAATGTCGTCCGTCCTGTTTGTCTGTTTACAGGCTCACTGGTGAAAACGAACCAACTCGGTGCCTTTAATCAAAGCATTTTAGTTTAGAGGTAAACAAAAGGCTTTTCTAGATATAAGGATAAAATGATTATATTATAACACAATATGATAAATAGATATACAATATTAAATGCAAAGTGAGAGGAAAGTCTGGGTTGAAGATAAACGGAGGTCAGAGGTCACAGGAACCAACGCCCTTTACAAATATACATCAAGAAATGCTGCTGTTGAAATCCCCACGGTGTACACATGTATACTTGCATATGCATACTTATGAATAATATTCTGGAATCAGGAAACATTTATTAGCCAAAATATGTCAAACATACAAGGAATTTGTCTTGGCGATTAGTGCGCGACAGTAGACAGACAAGACAACAGTGCACAAGTAATAAATTCTGTTTAATATTATTTTCGTATTAAAACCCATGGTTATAATTATAATTATTAATTAGTATGCAGTGTCACTACATCTCTGACGTTTATAACAAACGAACCCGTTTAAAAATCGGTTGAAATGAGTTATTACTATTTAAAGTACATGTACCAACACAACGTGACGGGTGAGCGAGCTGACTGTACCAAGATGGCCGCCATGAGCGGACGTTCTACACTCCGCCTGAAGACATCTAGCCTTTATATATATCTATGATTAAACTCACCTGGCGGCTTTGATTGATCCCGCCCACCGCTGACGTCACAGATCAACCTGGCTTTCAGGCTTTGTAGCAGAAACACGTCGCGTGGCTGACAGGAAGGTAAGGAGCCTTCGGTCCGCTGCTTTCAGGTCACATTCCGTGTACTTCCGTGTACTTATGTACTTGTATTTCCATGTAGTTATACTCTTGTCTCTGTCCGTGTTGATGTTAAAACAAGCCGCTTGTCATCAGGTGTCAATCGCACTTTCGAATTAAGAGAACTTTATTGAAAACAGTCACAGGTGACAACGAAAAAGTGGTGTACAGGTGATGAAGGTAAGCCACGCCCCCATCGTCGTCAGAGATTCATTCGTTTGTTCATCATTCAATAATTTGTTTATAATATTTACATATTAAATCTCATATCAGTAAACCACAGACGTAAATCACTTTGGAAACTCATGGTGTTGCAGCCAGAAACTCACGATCTTAGTTAAGTATTAGTTCTAATACTAATAGTAAAGTATTTTAATCACGAGATTATATACAATAATATGTTTATTATAGAATGGAATTAATATCATTAATATCATATCATCATACTACTATGTATTTATATTAACACTATTTATTCATAATATGTATTCATACTTGTTCAGATTATGTGTGTGTGTGTGTGTGTCTGTATGTATGTATGTGTGTGTAATAAATATATATATATATATATATATATCCACTCAAACGTTTGGACAGTTTCTCATTCAATGACGATGACGTGTGTATTGAGTGGTACTGTATATGTGTCATAATAATAATGATGTCTCGGTTTTGCAGAAAACTTTCAGTTAAAGTTCTTATGTGTGTGTATGTATGTGTGTTTTTAGATTAGCATAGCGACTGGAAACAGGGATGTCATTCACATGTATGCTAAGCTAAACTAGCTCTGTCAGTGACAAAGACATCATCACCTTTTTCTGTCTATAACCCGCTTTGTTTGTCTCAGAGGTTTCTATTATTGTTACTTCCTACACATATTCAATACTCAATAATTGATTCATTTGTGTTTGCGACTCCTCATAACATTATAATATTGCATACAATATTATCAATACCAACATGCATATTTAGGAGGTATAGAATATCTCCATAATGCTAACAAGCTCATGTTCTAATGCACTCCTTAACGATGACACCAAAAGAATCATCATCATAAAGTTATAGTCATTATCATAAGGACAATCACTTGAATGTATATCTGTCTGTCCTGTCACGCGTGTCCGTGACTCAGCTGTTTAGGAGGAATGTAGTTTGACCTGTAGTCTCACTTCCTGTTTCCTGACCTCTGATTGAAGCAGGAGGCTAACAGTTAGCGCTTCACACCTTCTGTGGTGACGATGGCGGAGGCTCCAGACGTGTTCTCAGAGCAGGAGTTGACCTGCTCCATCTGTCTGGACCTGTTTGACGAGCCCGTCTCCACTCCGTGTGGTCACAACTACTGCCAGGTATGACCTAGATGTGATCTCCATCCATCACAACTACTGCCAGGTATGGCCAGTAGATGTGATCTCCATCCATCACAACTACGTAGCTACTGGAAGTGGAGTTGGATTCCCTTAACACTGCGTTGTCTTTTCCTAACTCCTCACAAACTCTCCTAACCATCTTTCCTTGACCACATGACCTTTTCCACAGAGGTCAAAGAATAGTGGTTAGGAGCAGACGTTAGGAGGTCATTGTTTGCACTATTCGAATCCAGCCACTGACCTGCTTCTCTGGTGTCTACCTAGGCGTGTATTGACCTGGTCTTCTTCGCTGGTGTCTACCTAGGCGTGTATTGACCTGGTCTTCTTCGCTGGTGTCTACCTAGGCGTGTATTGACCTGGTCTTCTTCTCTGGTGTCTACCTAGGCGTGTATTGACCTGGTCTTCTTCTCTGGTGTCTACCTAGGCATGTATTGACCCGGTCTTCTTCGCTGGTGTCTACCTAGGCGTGTATTGACCTGGTCTTCTTCGCTGGTGTCTACCTAGGCGTGTATTGACCTGGTCTTCTTCGCTGGTGTCTACCTAGGCGTGTACTGACCCGGTCTTCTTCTCTGGTGTCTACCTAGGCGTGTATTGACCCGGTCTTCTTCTCTGGTGTCTACCTAGGCGTGTACTGACCCGGTCTTCTTCTCTGGTGTCCAGCTAGGCGTGTACTGACCCGGCTTCTTCTCTGGTGTCTACCTAGGCGTGTATTGACCCGGTCTTCTTCTCTGGTGTCTACCTAGGCGTGTACTGACCCGGTCTTCTTCTCTGGTGTCTACCTAGGCGTGTATTGGAGGCTACTGGGCCTCCAGCTCCGTGTGCACATGTCCTCTGTGTAAGAGACAGTTTGAGGAACGTCCTCAACTCAGCGTCAACAAAGTCTTCGCTCTCATCGCCAATAAATACAAAGCGTCTCGTTACGGCACGGCAGGGTTTCCCACGCCGCTCAGCAAGGGGACGCAGCAGGGGGACGCCGGTGCCCCCCCGTCTGGTGAAGAGGTGGTGTGGTGTGATGTGTGCACGGGAGTCAAAGAGCCCGCGGTCTCCTCCTGTCTCACCTGCACCGCTTCCTACTGCGCTCTGCACCTGCAGCCGCACCGCACCACCTCCTTCTACTCCCGACACCCGCTGATGGACCCGCAGGAGGCCTTCAGGGGCCGTACATGCCCCGCCCACCACCGCCTTCTGGAGGTGAGCCCCTTCCCCGTCTCTACCAGATACCAGTCTGCCCAGTTCAGTCTCAGTGGTGCTGGGATCAAGCTGCCGACCTTTGACTGCCGGATGTGTTCACTTGTCCAGGTGTTCTGTCGGACGTGTCAGCGCTGCATCTGTGCCATCTGCGTCCTGGAGGAACATCGGACCCACCAGACGGTGTCGGTGCAGACTGAGCGGCTCGGAAAACAGGTGGGGGGGCGGAAGGAGGAGGATGATGAATAGGATGAAGATTCTCTGTTTCATGGCTCTAACTAAACATGGATGTGATCAGAAACAGGTGGCGAGGACGGAGCAGGAGATCCTGAACCGGATCAGAGAGAAAGAGAGTCGTGTGACTCATCTGAAGAAGAAGCTGGAGGGTGTGAGGTCGGCCATCTTGTTTCTCAATGTAGATGTTGTATTGCAGGGGTCTCAAAGTCATTTAAGGTGCGGGGCCCAGATGCATCCCACTTGGACCGAAGCGGGGCCAGCCCTTTACGTTCGAGGGGGGGGGGGGGAGGCGGTCCGACCGGCGAGCGGTACAGCGGGCGGCGCTGACGGTCCGACCGGCGAACGGTGCGGTCGACGGGGCGGGGGCTTACGCCAAGCTCGGCACCCCCCCCTCGGCGGTGGCAAGCCGCACCGGACGCCCCGGTAGGCCGGATGTGGTCCGCAGGCCAGAGTTTGAGACCCCTGTTGTATTGACATATTTCACAATACTTTGTGTGTGTTCAGAACTACGCAGACGGGGAGCGGGCAGAGGTGGAGCACCTCCTGGATCAGTTGACCGGCTCCTTGGCGCGGATCCGGTCTCAGTTGGTGGGCGGCATCGACAACCAGCTGGACATGGTGATGGTGAAGGGGGAGGGGCTAGTAAGCCGCCTCGAAGCGGAGCTCGGCCAGCTGATGGACAGAAGAGCTATGCTGGAGGTCCAGGCGGTCAGTCAGGACCACATCGGCTTCCTGCAGGTGAGTTTTCTCTACATCTACAGGCCCGGCCCACTTATATATATATATAACCATATATATATATATATATATATATATTATATATATATATATATAACCATATATATATATATATATATTATATATATAATCCTCGTCTCCTCTCTCCTCAGAGCTTTAACGAGGCCACCTCTCCTCTGTCTGAGGAGCAGGAGGAGGTGGACGTGGAGGACTTCTCTCTTCACTTCCAGCTGATGGAGGTGAAGAGTTCTCTGTCAGATTTGAAGGAAAAGATGGAGGATTTAAGGACGGGAGACGAGGTTCCCAGAGGATCAGGTGAGAAGGGACCCGTGTGTGCACAGGGACGTGTTAATGTGTGTTTGTGTGGACACTGATGTGTTAATGTGTGTGTCAGTGTCGTCAGGTGACCTGATGGCAGCAGAGAGCATGCTCAGTCTGAGAGGAAGCACAGCCAGTCTGAGGAAGAGTCAGTGGTCCCTGAAAGGTGACTCCTCATTCTCCTTCTTCTCCCCATGACATGTGGTTTCTTTAAAGATGTGCTGATATTATGGCTCATTAGGGACAGAGGATGTCTCATGTGTACAGACTGTAAAGCCCTCTGAGGCTGTGCAAAATAAAATTAATTCAATTCAAATTGAATTCAACAAAGTAGCAAGAATTCGCCATTCAACCGGCTGCTTGCCCATTGACTACTGGTTATATTTCATATCCTGAATCGAATATTCTTTTATAATGTGGGTAGGCGAGTAGTACACCCTGTGACTCACTATAAAACTTTAACAAATATCGAACAAAAACATTTCTAAATGAGTGTTTAGTAGATTATCTGTTGTAACAATGCTTGGCAATAAATTGTATACCATCGGAAAACCTGTTGATTTCCCTTTTTTAAAGGTGCCGTTTGTAAGGAAATCTAATCCAATCAGGTCTCAATCGCACTTTCGAATTAAGAGAACTTTTTCAATCCAATCCAATAAGCCGAAAATCGTCTCTGCCAAACTGCACATTCTGCTGTTGACTCTTGTTTGGTGGATTGGATGAAGTGTGACTGGGACCAGCTATCTAGACACAAATCTACCTTAACCACTGGGAACTTTTATTGTGAAAGGGTAACTGTGGTTTCCTGTTTCCCTCAGAGCGGAAGAGGAACAAAGTGGTCTCAGGTTTGTCTTTTCATCAATAACTATGAAGTAATATGAAGTTATAAATACATGACTGACCTATGAGGTGTTCAACAGGACACAAGAAGGCCCGGGTCTACATGGGTGAGTGGTTCTCTCCATTTTAACATGCTAACACCGGTTCGCATGCTAGCATCACAGCGCTAGCATCAAGCCCCCCCACCTCACCGCGTCATTGTCTCCAGAGGACGTGACCCTGAACCCGGTGACGGCCTACCCGTTCCTCATCCTGTCCGAGGACCGGAAGCAGGTGAAGCGGGGCGAGAAGCTCCAGTTCTACCGGACTAGCCAGCAACGCTTCGACGTCTGGTCCTGCGTCATCGCCAAGGAGACCTTCAGCACGGGCCGCCACTACTGGGAGGTGAGACCCGCGCCGCACAAACCTGCATTCCGACCCGGCACCACCTGACCGCTGTCACGTGTATATTTCTGTGCAGGTGTTTTGTCGGGGGACAGTAAGGACTGGAAGCTGGGCCGTGTTCAGCGAGTCTGCACCCGGGAAAGCCTCATTGACATGAACCTCTCCAAAGGGGAACTAGCCATCTGGTGGAGCGGCAGCCAGCTGAGAGCGCTCACTGCCCCCCCGCTCACCAAGGTCCACACTCGCTTTATATGAGGCATACGTACGTTAGCATCAGCTAACAGTGAGCTGGAAGAACAAAGTTTAATGAAATATAGCATGAAAACATGGAGTTAGCATGTTACTATGCTAGCAAGCCAGTCATGGGATTTATGCGTAACTAGCCCTGTATGCTAACTAGCCCTGTATGCAAATTAGCTAGCTAGTTATAATTCAACCAAAGCTTCATCTGCACACTCTCAGGTCATTAACGGTACATTTAAATGCACAGAAGAAGAAGTGACCTCCGGTCTCCAACGTGTGTTTACTGCAGGTGAAGGGTCCCCCGAAGCTGCGACAGGTGGGCGTGTTCCTTGACGTGGACGAGGGACAGGTGTCCTTCTACAACGTGAAGTCGGGCTCAGAGATCTACAGCTTCACAGGATCCTCAGAGTTCACAGAGAGGATGTTTCCCCTGCTGGGGACCGGAGACAAAGACGTCCCCCTCGTCCTCATGACCTCGCAGCACCAGCTGGCCTGACGGTAGACGAGACCGACAGGATGATAATATATTTACAGAGTTTATAGTTACAAAAAGTGGGTTTTATATTTGCAGAATCAACTGAAATTCAAAGATATTATCTATAATAAATTGGTTAAGTATTATGGCTCAAAGAAAGTTACAAAAGTCTACTTGTTTAATGCTCGCTGTGATGACAGGCTCCTCCTCCTCACCTATAAGCCAAGGGTGATGACGATTGTTTGTATCGAAGCTGTTAATTAAAGACAAATGTCACAAATGATGCTCCTTTGAACGACTGGACAAAACAATTGATTCCTTGACGCCACTCGGCTCTCAACATGGAGACAGCTGAGCCGACCAAATATTTGTAGTGTAATTTGCTTATTAATACTTTTTAATGCTTAATCTTGTTACATTTACTCGTAGCAGTATTCGCCTAAAAGACTAAATTGTTGTTCTAAACACAATCCATGAACAGACATCTCGACAAAGTTACGATCATTCAAGTTTATATTTTATTTAACATAAATCATATTGCAGTGTGAACAGCTGGGGTTGTAATATACACAATAGAATGTAACATTTTAAGCCCCTGCCCACAACGCACCCTAATGAAAACCAAAAGCCGCTTCTCATAAGCCCCGCCCATGCACCCCTTTAAACAGAGCCACAGCCCCGCCCACCCCGACGCTAAGTGTGTTCACATTTATTTGTGCGATTTGGCATCGACCTCCAACTCAGATGAGTTGTAGTTCACCTCCACATGTCAGCCAATCAATGGCATCATGTGACCGGCTGCACGGGTCATTCAAAGGTCCATCTGCTCCCTTTGGAACCTACAAGCCCCTCCCCTTTCAGGGACGCCGTGTCATCACCGCAGGCTGAACACTATCAAGGTCTTCAACTATTTAAGGCGCACAAGCTCCACTGATAAGGCTCCTCCTCCCCTCAGCGCTGATATAATTATGGCCTACCCCAAGCGCTGACATCACTATACTTTCAGCCATTTTTGAAAATGTGTAGACATCTTAGCATGAGAAACTCTTTAAGGCGAGCCCAACTTATCGTAACAGGCCCCGCCCGGATCACAGCTCGGCCTAAGAGCAGCTCACGTGTTACCAACAGGGAACTTCCCTTCCGAGGGACCCTTTGTGGCTCATCTGCTCTTACCAGGACCTCTTAGCTCCGCCCCAATGCCTTCCCCTCTGCAGAGTCGCTGCTCGCTAAGAAAACGTTGGTTATTTGTGGTGATTATTTTTCGGCAAACAGCAGTTTTGCAACTGCCTGAAGTCTTGTTGCAAGTCAATGGTTGTTACGGGTGCTGTCAGGTTGCTAGGGTAACCAGCCTGACTCAGTATGGAGTTTGAGGGGGCGTATCCTTCTGAAGGGGGGGGGGGGGCCTTCTGACTACCTGTGTAATGCAGGTGTCTGAGGAACAAAAATACAGATAAAAGAAAATCACATCATCGTCGTCATCCAGCAACGTCCCCCCTGGTACTTTGAGTCCAGTTCTGGTGTGTGTTGTGTGTCGCTGTGGCATGTAAACGGTTTCCTGTTGTATCTTGTGAGTAAAACAGAAATATGGGAGGGGTGGATGAAGGGAGGAGGACCAGGAGGGGGAGAGGGGGGGGGGGGGAATTTCTTCTTTAGTTTTAAAAAAACAGCTTTCTGTCGCTGCAGCTCCTGCCAACGAGCAGCGGCAGGAAGGAGGCGGGAGGCAGAGGGTTGGGGGGGCAGGAGTGTTTACGAGGAGGTGGGGGGATGGCGAGGTGAGGGGGTTTTGAGAATTGCGGGACGCCAGGTTATTTAAGACACCTCTCGAAGTAGGTGGCGCCCACGTAGCCGCCCCTCAGAGAGCGGTGGACGTTCTGCTCAAAGAGCCGCCGGTTCGTCTGAAGGACTTCTGCTGCCTCCTTGTTCAACGGGTCCTCGGGGTTCGGCTCCTGGGGGGGGGATGGGGATGTTTATGTGAACTGATCTTTATCTGTGTTTTACATCAGTGGCTGATTCATATAATTACCACACTGTGATATACGTGAACTCACTAGAAATAGATACTGTAGACCGTAGATGATGGAGTTTACTGTCAGCACAGGCTTCCAGTCCTCTCTGTGGACAACAACAAGTTGTATGTACAGGCTTATGGTGGATTTAAGGGGGACAGGCAGTTACTGAGGGGGGGAACAGACCTTAAGATATTTAAGCAGACGTTTCCTTCCAGGTCGATATTGGGGTGATACACCATCGTCTCACACTTCACCTTGGGAGGGTCATGGGGGTAACCCTGTCCTACCTGACACACAAAGACGTGATGACATCATTCTAATCAATCACAGACTTGTAATAAGGACGGAGAGAGAGGAAAGGAAACCTCACCTTAAAGCTGAAGACAAATTTTCCTCCTTTGTAAAAGCCCTGAGAGACGAAACAGAAACATTAATCTCACACACACACACACACACACACACACACACACACACACACACACACACACACACACACACACACACACACACACACACCTCGTCTGGTGAGATGATGAGTCTGAAGTTCAGCAGGTCGTCATCATCAGGGAAGTTGATCTCACACGTTTTTGGAAGATTCAACTCATTAATGTCTGTAAGATAAAATGATTACATTCAGATCTTCAGACTTTACAGTTTACTAGTACATCACTTTTAATATTATTCTGTGTACTAGTGAATCACACATACACACATTATATATATATATATATATATATATATATATATATATGCTACAGCATGTACAGTAAGTACAACTATATGTATCTCTAAAGTGTACTCGAGTACAAAGTACTAATATATATGTAGTGTAGCTATATTTGCACTAACGTTACCCTCTTTAAATGTAGTACCGGATAAAGTAATGCGTGTACCTCTAAGATGTAACGTTAGTACAGCATAGCGTACTGTATGTACCTCTGACATGTTATTGTACATGTATTCAAATGAAACGAGTAATTTAGATGGGAGCTCCACTACAGTAGTTGGTTAATATACTCCGTAGTTCAAAGTGTCATGACATCATCACATAAGGTTATTACGTCACTTACAGATTGGCACTGACACAGCAGGTTAGCTGGTTGAAGCTAGGTTAGCTTAATGAAGCTGCCTGCTGTTAGCATAAAACAACAGCCCTTACGCGGGTAGCTTGCTGGGAACCGTGAAAACATTCTGTTCTGGCTCAGATGTTGTATGAAGTTAGCTATGTGCTAACAGTAGCCCACAGCAGGCTGCCTTGTGACTGGCTGTTTTGTTTTCAAATATTGCACCAGCTAGCCGACGTTGGCTAACGTTAGCACCCCACATATTAGCGCAATGGCTGTTAGCCTGGACCCGCTACTGTGTGTGTTTGTGAACCCGGCTCTCTACGGGGGGCAGTGTTACCCGGTTGTATGTCGGTACCCAGTGTGCGGGGTGGATGGGACCAGCTGACGGGTTCTGGTGCGGTTATCCAGCCTACCTTTCTGTATTCGGAGCTGGGCCGCGCTGGCTTTCTTCCCCCCAGCTCCTGTTCTGTTTCCTCCCGCAGACTCCTCGTCTTTCTTCTGCTGCTTCAGGGAAAAGAGCTTAATCATCTTCACTTATTGGATCAATGGACGCCTCTACGCTGCGTCCCGTCGGTGGTGCGGTTCTGTCGGTGCCGTGAGTTTAAGGGAGAGTCGGTTCCGTCCTAACGGCACCGGGAGGTTGATGGAGCCGGTGCGTCTCAACTAATTACACTGAGGGGACGCTGCTAGCGGAGCTAGCTTAGCATGTTAGCTAGGGGGGAGGGGGCAGTAAATGTTGCACCTTATTTATTCTACTAAACTAAAAACATTGTACTTTTAATATAAACGTTAGTACTATTTATTGGACTTAATCCCAGAGGTAAATATTGTACATTTTTACTGTACTAACATCTCAGAGGTAAATATTATACCCTTAGTATACCACATCTCGAGGTACACTTTATACGTTCCATTTTCCTAACGTTACATCTCAGAGGTACGTGTTGTACGTCTGTATTGTACATCTTTGGGGTACACATCTCAGACGTAAATATTGTACTTTTTATTATACCACATCTCAGAGGTTCATATTGCACTTTCTTACTGTACTACATCTCAGAGGTACCCATTGTACTTTTATTGTACAACATCTCAGAAGTACTTTAAATTATACCACATCTCACAGGTATGTACTTTTAATATATTTTCTATTGCCAAAAAACTACATATCCCAGAGTCCCTCTCTGCGTACGACACGCAGTGACGCAATGACGCAGAGGCGGGGCGTGCGTCCTTACGCTGCCCTGCTTGTATTTACAACACTTCTTTATTTAATTTATTTCCTCTCCTGCTCTGGGGCCCGACGTGCCGCGCGCTCTCTGAAGTCACCTGTATGATGTAATCAATGCAGGGGGTTAAACTTGTCTCACGAGACCGTCCGACTCATCCAGCACAGCACTAAATCACGCACAACAGACACGGGAAACAATAGCTGCACTTTATTCACAATATCTGATCGATTTTTATGCGATGATCAATGGGGTCTAGTTCCTGCGGAGGGTTATATCCGCGTTTTGATCTAAACCCTACACTACACTTCAGTTAAAATAAGGGAAGAGGAGAAGAAGAACACGTTGTAACGCGCGGAGAGAGAGAGAGAGAGAGAGAGAGAGAGAGAGAGAGAGAGAGAGAGAGAGAGAGAGAGAGAGAGAGAGAGAGACACACACACACACTCCAGCGGCACTGCGCCCTTCACTTGATCGATATCGATCAGTTCGGAGAGATTCAGACCCACAGTGGGTCCGTTAACAAGACTAGCACCGGGAGCTAGCACTGGAAGCTAAGCGATGGGACGCGTGTGAAGCAGCCTGCAGCTAACAGCAGCCTGGCGGAGAAAGAAACAAGGAAGCGGACTGCTAGCTGTGCCGAACCGGAGCTAACGTGGCTAACTGTTGGCTAATATTATTTCTAATGTGCGACCAAGGAGCATGCGACCGGATACGAAAAGGTGAGTGCCCGCTGGATCGCGTCTCTATCAGCAGCCATGTTGTTTTATTAACCTCCATCTGCCAGGTTCGTTTGTAATGAGGCGGAGAGATAATGAAAGAGGAAGCGGACTGCAGGGCAGCTAGCCCGCTAAGCTAACATGTTAGTCAGCCCAGCCTGGATCACATCACTGATGGGGTGGATGGGAAGCGTAGTGTCACCTCTCATATCTGATCTTTAATCAACAACACACCTGTGGATGTCTGCAGGTGTGTTGTACCTGACTGAACGCAGGTGACTGTGACGTGTTAGCGGTTAGCAGCTAATGCTGCAGGTGGGGCTATATGCGCATCTTCATTATTCTTTGCTGCTAACTTGTGTTAGCTAAGAAAATCATATTATTTACAGATGACGCTCACTGACAAGAATATGAATATAGATGCATAGATAAAAGGCACTTAGATAACAGGGATGTTATTGATCGATTCATGTTCAACATGAAAACGAAACGATGACAAGTAAACCTTCACAACAAATCAATTAGCTACACAAATAAATAATACATGTCTAAAAAAGGACCAGATACAAGTACATACCTTAATATTCCTCTTTTATGTTGATCATGTATAAACCTTTACATCTTTAATGTAGAAGTGATTATAAATAACCGCCTTTTAATAATTATATACAAACATGAATAATAAATATGAATATTCACCTCAATGATTTTAAAATCCAAACATAAATGTATGTTTTTAAAAAGAATCACTGTCGTACAATAAATAACCATACTAACGTTGGAGGAGGAAGGAGTTTATAAGGTTATATTTATCACCATAAAGATGGTACCACGATGATTATGGTACTACGGTAACCACGGTATCATCAACATGACTAGTGCGATACCGCTGATAGCACTGCATTGACGGTTACACATATATAATATATATATATATATATATATATATACAAGTACAGTCAGAGGTTTGGACACACTTTGACATTGAATCACAAAATTAGTCCCTTATTTTATTGCCGAGAGTTGTATGCATTCATACCGAGAGCGGATGGTCTGATGCAACGTGTCCGGCACCCCGCACAGAAGCCCTGAGGAACCTGGTCCAACGCCTTCTCAAAGTCACTCACTCTCTCAACCTTTTATTATAAACGTTTTAGTCGTAGAATAATACAATCAATAGCTTTTTCAGTCCAGTAGATGGTGCTGTGTTTTCTGGTAAGGTCAGCAGAGGTCACCGGTCAGCATGATTGGTAGGTAGTTGGTCAAAACAAACACGGGACAGATGTCCCCTCCATGTCCCACGTTGAAGTGTCCCTGAGCAAGACACCCGACCCCTAACTGCTCCCCGGGCAAAAACATGGGGTAAAAATGTAGAGGCAGTGACTTTGGATAAAAGCTAAATGACCTGTAATGTAAAAATGGAGATATTTGAAATGCGCTTGGACTTCATTAACAAGGAAGCGAAAGCAGGCATGGATGTGTGAAAATAAAATACTCTGGGAACACACGGGGGCTCATCTCACAGGCCCCAGAAACAACGTTAGCCGATGACGGACAGATCGACCCACCCTGGACACACTTAGCGGGACAAATTCTGAGCGGGCTGAGAAAATAACACGAGCCGTCACCTTCATTGTTCATAGTATCTGTAACAGTACCACACATATGTGTGTGTTTGTTGTCAACAGCTTGTGCCTTTGCTTTGTGCCTCCAGCTGACTTGTTCGGGGATGTCGGGCAGTAAGGAGCTGGGCGGGGGGGCAGGCGTGGGTGCGAGGCGAAGGCGGACGCGGTGCCGGCGCTGCCAGGCCTGCATGAGGACGGAGTGTGGAGAGTGTCACTTCTGTAAGGACATGAAAAAGTTCGGCGGGCCCGGCCGCATGAAGCAGTCCTGCCTTCTGAGACAGTGCACGGCGGTGAGACACACACACACACACACACACACACACACACACACACACACTCAGAGCGTCTTCTGGTATTTCTGGTTGTTGGTGTCGACTCTTCAAATAGCTTCAGCCAAGAGCCCAGCAGGCGATGATGCTGGGTCTCCATGGCAACCAGAGATGGTTCCTGGAGCTGTGAGAGAGAGTTGGCTCCGCCCCCTTCGTACACTAACACACACACACACACACACACACACACACTAAGCCAGTTGATCTCATGTTATTTGGGTTGGAGCTATATTTATCTATTTATTTTGTCCCTCCCACACTCTCACCTCTCTGTCCATCCCTCTCTCACCTGTCTGTCCCTCCATCTCTCACCTGTCTGTCCATCCCTCTCTCACCTCTCTGTCCATCCCTCTCTCACCTCTCTGTCCATCCCTCTCTCACCTCTCTGTCCATCCCTCTCTCACCTCTCTGTCCCTCCTTCTCCATCTCTCACCTCTCTGTCCATCCCTCTCTCACCTCTCTGTCCATCCCTCTCTCACCTGTCTGTCCCTCCATCTCTCACCTGTCTGTCCCTCCCTCTCTCACCTCTCTGTCCATCCCTCTCTCACCTGTCTGTCCATCCCTCTCTCACCTCTCTGTCCCTCCTTCTCCATCTCTCACCTCTCTGTCCATCCCTCTCTCACCTCTCTGTCCCTCCTTCTCCATCTCTCACCTCTCTGTCTGTCCCTCCCTCTTTCACCTGTCTGTCCCTCCTGTCGGTCTCTCCCTCTCCAGCCGGTGTTGCCGCACACGGCGGTGTGCTTTGCATGTGGCGAGGCGGGTAAGGAGGACACGGTGGACTCTGAGGAGGAGAAGTTCAGCCTCTCTCTGATGGAGTGCACCATCTGTAACGAGATCATCCACCCGAGCTGTCTGAAGGTCGGTGCCGCTCATATTCAATAACCAATAAAGTTTTTATGTGTTTCCTGTCAACACAAATCTAGAGAGAGAATTGTGAAGCACCATGGAATGTGGTTGTTGTTGTTGTTGTGATAGGTGACGTGCAGTTGTTTGTGTCTCCTCAGATGGGTAAAGCTGAAGGAATCATCATCGACGAGATCCCGAACTGCTGGGAGTGTCCAAAGTGCCACAAGGAGGGCAAACCAGTAAGGTACGCCCGATTCCCCCTAGCTGGGATGTTAGAGACCTGTAGTAGGGCTGGGCAGGACGGTCAGAAACCCATCAACGGGATCCCCATATGATGGACCCCCTCACGGTCAGAAACCCATCAACGGGATCCCCGTATGATGGACCGCCCACCGGTCAGAAACCCATCAACGGGATCCCCGTATGATGGACCGCCCACCGGTCAGAAACCCATCAACGGGATCCCCGTATGATGGACCGCCCACCGGTCAGAAACCCATCAACGGGGATCCCCGTATGATGGACCGCCCACCGGTCACAGCTCGGTGGCCAACCAGACGCAAAACCAGCAGCTCGACCATTTGTGCAATAAATCAGTATACCGCCCGGCCGCATCACGTAGCATCACGTAGCATCGCGTATCATCGCGTAGCATCACGTAGCATCACGTAGCATCGCGTAGCATCGCGTAGCATCGCGTAGCATCGCGTAGCATCACGTAGCATCACGTATTAATGCATCCTCGTGTTCGGGCTCAGGACCAGGCGGATGGCTCGGGGAAGCGCAGGCTGGATAACGGGGAGATCGGCCGCTGGAAGCTCACCGATGACCCTCCCCCTAAAAAAAAAGCCCCTCCCTCCTTGGAAGAGGGAGGGGCAGTGGGGGGGGGGCACAAGAGGAAGAAGGAGAAGGAGCTGCCTCAGGACAGCGGGCCCAAGAAGAAGGTGGGTGACATGTCAAATGGAATCTGTTAAACCTGTCTCAGCTCGTGTCTCACTGTCTCTCTGTCTGTCTCTGTCTTTCTCAGATGAAGGGTGCCCATGAAAAACGGCTCAAAAGGCACGAAGATTCTATTATTGTTATTAACAATATTGTTGATTATATATATTTTTTTCTGTTACTATATATAATTGATAAGCTGAAGAAGACACAGCTTTAACGTGTCTTTCTCTCATCAGAAACCCAAGCAGGAGGCGGAGTCCAACGGTCCCACCTCCTCAGTTGGAGGAGGAGCAGGAGGACTACAGGGCTCTACCATGGCGTCTCCTCAGCCCGGGGTGGGGATGGGAGTGGGGGGGGCGACGAGTGCAGACCAGCGCTCCCACCACCGGGAGAAGCTGGAGCGCTTTAAGAGGATGTGTCTGCTGGAGCGTCGACCAGAGTCCTCCTCCTCTTCCTCCTCCTCCTCCTCCTCCTCCAGCTCCGAGTCCGACTCGGAGTCCGAGTCCGACGATTCCCTCAGGGGGGAGCAGGCCGGAGGAGGCTCCTCCCCCTCTTCCTCCTCCCCGGCCCAACCTCATCCCGTTGTTTACGGCGGGCGGACAGAGCGGGAGAGGAGTCGGAGCGAGAAGGAGAGAGAGAGGAAGAGGGAGCGACGCCTGGCCGAACTGAGCTTCAGCGCCAGCGACGAGTCAGAGGGGACGGGGGGGGAGGAGCTGAGGGAGGAGGAGCAGGGGGGAGGGGAGGTGACTCGTCGGATAGGGGGAGAGGCCGGGTTGCCTCCTCGAGGACGAAAAGGAGGACTATTGGAAGGATAGGAGGAGGAGGACACGCCCACTTCTGATATGACCAAAAAGACCTCAACATCCCTCCCCCCGCCCTCGCCCCTCTCCTCAAATCAGATGCCTCCATGCTCCCAACACGACAGCTTCACTGGGTAACAGCGCAACAATGGGCAGGAGGCGCGCAACGGGCGGACACGAGGAGGCATGGGAGGGGGGAGGGAGGGGGGGGAGAAGGAGAACGCTAGCGGCGTTCTGACCAATCACAGACACAGCGGAGGGGGGGGCAAAGGCTTGGGGAGCCGCGGCAACAAGTTTCGTAAGAACCAGACGTCCAGAAACAGCAGCTCCTCCCTCCCCACTTCGAATGGGGGAGGGGGTGGGGGAGGCAGCCCGATGATGTCAGCGATGGCAGCGTCCCCCTGCTCGCAGCCGTCCCGCCTCGCCCCGCGCTCCCAGATGATGAAGCGCAGCCCACCCGCCGTCCCCTCACCCCCCCGGCCCGTGCAGATGGAGAGGCATCTGGTGCGCCCCCCCCCCACATGCCCCGAGCCCAGCTGCCTGCCACTGGACTCTGGCTCCTCCCACATTATGACCCGCGACGTGTGGCTGCGAGTCTTCACTCACCTGAGCCAGCGAGAGCTGTGTGTCTGCATGAGGGTGTGTCGCACCTGGAGCCGCTGGTGAGTGACATCACACTGTGACCTCGCCATGACCTCATGTCTGATCACAGTTCACAGTCTCCTCGGTTTCTTCTTCAGGTGTTGTGATAAACGGTTGTGGACTCAGATCGATCTGAGCCGGCAGCGCTCCATCACCCCCCCGATGTTGAGTGGTATCATCCGCCGGCAGCCCGTCTCCCTGAACCTGGGTTATACCAACATCTCCAAGAAACAGCTCATGTGGCTCATCAACCGCCTACCAGGTGACGCCACAACTTTAAACGCTACACTATTAATTGAGGAGTCTTCTCAGCCAAAGTATTACTGCTCTGTGAGCCGATCAATATGAATACACTTTGATTTGGGCTTCCAGTGTGGGCGGAGCTATGAACACAGTTTAGTGGAGGAGAACTAATGACTGATGATACGAGAGAAGGTCTCACCCGTCTCCCCCGGGTCTCCTCAGGTCTGTTGGAGCTGAATGTCGCTGGGTGTCCATGGCCGGCGGTCTCTGCTCTCTGTCAGGCCGTCTGTCCGTGTCTGAAGCTGCTGGACCTGAGCAGAGTGGAGGACCTCAAAGACTCTCACCTGAGAGAGCTGCTGGCCCCCCCACCGGACACCCGGACAGGTAAGACACCCCTCTTCCTTTTTACGTGTGTTTTGATGTTAATCAGTTTGGTTCACCAACTTGTCTCTGATTGGTCAATCAGCTCACGGGGAGACCAGAGTGGGGCGCTTCCAGAACGTTGCTGAGCTGCGATTGGCTGGCTTGGACCTGACGGACGCGTCGTCCCGCCTGTTGGCTCGTTACGTCCCTCACCTGAACAAGTTGGACCTCAGTCAGTGTGGAAACATCAGTGACCAGACGGTGCACACGCTCACCTCCTCCATCTCCCCCCTGAGGGACAGCCTCACCCACGTCAACCTGGCAGGTGCGTCTCTCTCTCTCTCTCTCTCTCTCTCTCTCGCTCTCTCTCTCTCTCTCACCCCCTGACTGTCTTCCAGGTTGTGTGAAGGTGACGGATCAGTGTGTGTCGTTGCTTCGTCGATGTTCATCTCTCCAGGCGGTGGATCTTCGTTGTTGTTCCTTGTTGTCGTCGGAGACGGGACAGCTGTTGTCGTTCCCTCATCACGCCTCCACCTCCTCTGCCACCATCACCGCTGCTGCTTTATCCTCTTCCTCCCCCTCCTCCTCCTGTCCTCCTGAAGACAGAACGCTGCTAAAGAACAGCTAGAGTCCTCCTCATATCATGTGACACTCCAATCATTGGTCCAGACGGCACAAGAGCCCCGCCTCCCACCGTCTTACACTACAGACAGGTGAGGAGGAGGCACCTGTGCAGCATTTCTCCTGACCTGAGGAGGAACATATTCTGGGAAAGTTGTTGGTAATAGTAAAGCATAGAAACCCTGAGCGTGTACATATTTGTTCTCTGTACAATTTTGGGTGTGTCTGTACATATGTGTAGTTTACTGTAAATGACCCGTGACCTTTGAAACATCACTAACACTTCTATCCTTCATCCACCCGCCTGTCACACGCACGCAAGAACTTCACCACGAGGACGGTCTGACATTTGTGTCCGGTTAGGCTGCGGCTTATTTTCAGTGTTTATGCTAAGCCAGGCTAACAGTTCCCCTCCACTGTCAGTCTTTTTGCTAAGCTAAGCTACAATTTCCCTCTGCCTCATTTCTCTGCGCGCCGTTTCCTTGCTAAGCTAGGCTAAACCCTTCTTAGTGGACTACACATGTTAATGGCTCTCAGGAGACCAAACACATTGCCAATACATTTTATTCAAACAGGACTTTTGAATCCTTGGAACAAAGCTGGTGATTGTTTTGAAGACCCACCGTGTCCAAGCTAAATAAAGCACGAGCGTCTTGAAACGTAGTTTTAAGATGAACCAGTCAAAAGCAACAGTATCCACCTCTTCCAGTGTTTGTGCTAAGCTAGGCTAACCCCCACATCTATAAAATGTCAGACTGTTCTCCCTCCTCTTCATCATGTGATCCGGTTATTTGGGGAAGTTATTAATTGTGTTTTCTCAGGAGTTTGTTCTTAATTTATTTTTTTTGCCTCCAGTCAAACTCACATTCCTCCTCTTCATCTGTCACTTCCTGATGGATTTCCGCTTGTCTTCCTCGTGATGAAGATGTTCATATTAAATCTGTAGCTATGGAAGCTCATTTATGCCACAAAAAAATAATGAAAGTGAAATCTAATCTGGTTATTATTGCACAATCTTGATCAATTGATTTAATTGAAACTCCCATTTTTACAATGTATTAGATTTTATTAATCAAATTTGGACTATTCACATGTTTTTCCTATTTTTTTTTATTCCATCTTGGTGTTTTTGGGGCTCAATGGGTTTCCATAGTTTCAAAAATGAAAAATACGTTCATCTGAAATAATGGCTGATTACTGTTTGTGTTTATGTTGGAACTGGCTGTCATGTGATCAGGTATCGACACTGAGGGGCGTGTTCATTTTCCCAGACATGGTGGTTCTTCTACCTGAACTCGTATCAAGAGAAAAGGATTGTGGGAACATGGAGATGGACCCCGCTGGGGGGTGGGGGGGGGGTTATATTCCCTTCAAACATTTTGTATTTTCAGTTCGAGCAGCTAAACACACTACAAATGATCAGTACATTTGTACTGGTTAGCATGTTGGTCACGTGAGCTTCACGTTTGCTAGCTGTTCTGTCACAGCTTTTTTTTTCGGTTTCTTCAATTCAATTCATTTTATTTTGTATAGCCCAAAATCGCAAATTACAAATTAGCCTCAGAGGGCTTTACAGTCTGTACACATACAACATCATCTGTCCCGAAACCCACCGTTTCTCTGCTACACTTTTAAAAATTCTAAAAAACCAACAAGGTAACAGAATTTAAATTGAGTTACGAGAACTAGCTGGAACCTCCCCTCCTCCTCACGAGCTAGCTAATGTTAGCCAGCAAGCTAACTCTGCACTATTAGTTGATTCATTACACAGCAATAGAGGTAACTAAATACAAAGTGATGAGCTTTGTATTTCCTGTTTTAGCATCCTTGTATCATGTTAGCCAACAGTCTGAACAACTACCTGAACAGAAACACATCATTTCAACGGATTTTGTTTATTTGGGGTTTCTGGTCAGGAATTGAAATATTTGGCTAAAAATGTATTTATTAAAAGTGCAGAAGAGTTAAAATGCGTATATGGAATAAAAAGTATTAGCAGTTGAATGTTAAATCGACACAAACGCCGTGTTGTGCCATAAAAGCCCACCAGATGTCGATAGGTCATATTTTCTACTTTTTCTATTCCGTTGTGATTTACTTGTTTTATTTTTTTTATTGTAACTTTGGGTTCAATGATTTTATAGCGCGGATTGAAACTTTGCCTAGCAACAAGTGACAAGATCAAATCTGATTGGACGACAACGCCCATGGAGGCTCTCACCAATCAGGAGCTCTGACCGGTCTCACCTCCTCCTCTGACTCATCAATGATTCAAAGATTCACCGGAAGATCTTCATCACCTTCTTCACCTTTTGCCAAATGTAGTTTTTGTTGTGAAAGAGGCAATTTATGGTGTTTTTATGTTTTTAAAAAAAATATTTTGTCATGCTTCTGTTGTGTTGATAAATTATGAGGAAGAAGTTTGAACAAAAAGTAAAAGACTCCAGGCAGCTATGAGAGATACTACTGTAACGATGAGTAATAAAGCAATGGGTTCCTTTCTACTCCATTGAGTCTCTTCAGGTACAAGTACACGAACAGCTCATGACAAATAATCTTGTTCCTCATGAAAGACGGGAGGAGAAGTACTGAAACCATAGAGTACACAGCACTAATACCACAGAATACACCGTACAAGCAGTAATACGTTTTTAAAAGCATAATAGTTTTTTAACATTTATTAGTCATGATATACAATAGTACAACGTTTTAAATATGTGTAATACCTTACGGCAGGTATTAAAGTACGACAGTCGACTATTACAGTGTCTTCATCGAGTATTAAAAGTAACTCATCAAGAATGGGAGTACTGCAGTGGTAAATGTAAGTTACCTAAATGTAGGATCTGCGGACGTTGTGTGCGCGCTCCCGGTTCACCTGACGCCTCTAACGACTGATTCCGATATTTATTGATGCTAAAATGCCCATGTACTGATGTGCTGGATTACCTACTTCATTATGTGTGGAGATCAGAAAAGAAATGCCTGGCGCACCAGAGAGCATGATGGGACATGGTGTTTGATCACGATCACTGTTAGAAACAGGCTGTCTTTAGTTCATTGAGCTGATGTTTGTTCATAAGAGTGTAGTGCTACGTTCTCGTGTTCCTCGTAGACTCTACATTTATGCTGAATACCCCTGAATATATCTCTTGTACATTTGAATCTTTATTTAAAAGCATAAAATAGTGTTTTTAAAATGAATGTATTGGTTATGATATACAATAGTACAGAGTTTCCAATATTACTTAGTAGTAATAGTACTACATTTTTTCACGGTTATTCACACACATTTTGAAACATCGTGCTCGCATTCACTGCGTAGTGTCAAAAGATCCCAGTGCCCCTGAAGGCAGCACGACGGCGTGATATCCTTCCGCGGGAGAGAAGCGTGCGGCCCTTTCCCTCGCGACGACACAGGATGCGAACGGGCGGCGGTTCTTCAACATCCGCGTGAAAAAAACGCCGCGCCGTTACCGGGTAACTCCCGCCGATTTCCGCACCGACCGAAGCTCCGTGGACGAAATATAATCTGGTGTGAGCGCAGCAAGGTAACCGAAAGTGTGTAGCTAAGGACGGCGAGAAGAGCGAGTGAGACGGTGGACGGAATGGAGCTCATCACTATTCTAGAGAAAACCGTCTCTCCAGGTGAATATCAACATGCAGCCGGTAACCGGCGCTGGTAACCGGGGTATGGGCGTCATTACGGTGTTAGCTTAGCTAGCGTTAGCTCCGATGAACCGGCGAAAGTTTGTGGGAGGGAAATGCCTCGCAAGTGGCTACTAGCACGTAATGCTAAAGCTAGCGTTACGGCCTCGGCCACCGCCGGTGACTTGGACTGCACTTGCACTGCCATGGAGCTCATCGCAAGTGTGACAGATTAGGTAACCCCTGGTCCCCTCAGGTTAGCCCTGAACGGTAATATCATTTGACAACATGGATGTAGCTCATCGGAGGCCGATCTGACTGCAGCACGTAGCCGGTGAGGAGAGGCGACACTGCCCATGCTTGCGTTAGCCGCTCGGTTAGCTGGTAGCTTTTATCATTTTAAACTGTCGGCCGCTTCTTCGCACGTTGGACCTGGTTAACGTTACTTTAAAGCCGCCGAGGGGAGAGTAAAGTCCCCCAGTTGTTATTTAAGTAGCCTTCCATATCGTTGAACAGAGTTATGTTTTTGTAACTGGCATGCTTGTTTGTCCGTAAAACTTTATTTCTGCTAACCTAATCGTGTCCCCGCTAATGTTAGCATGCTAACTGAGAGGCTAACACGCACGTTGGAGCCCCGTCCTGTTTCCTCGTCCCCGTGTGATCCTTCAGTGGCGTTAACGTTGCTCGTACTTTAACCGGAATACCCCGCGTCTGTTGTGTTCGACTGGAGCGGGCGGACCCGCTTTATGTGCTCACGCCAGAACCTCGGTGCTGTTCGCCTGCCCGCTAACCCGTGAGCGAACTAGCTAACATCCTACTGAATAACTCTTCTCTCCTCAGATCGGAATGAACTGGAGGCGGCACAGAAGTTTCTGGAGCAGGCGGCGGTAGAGAATCTGGTTAGTATGGTGCTACTGGGGCTGGCGGGGCAATCTGACTGCAGTCAGGATGGAGTCAACAGGAGCTCCGGGCAGCTGGAACCAGCGCCCCTTCCCACCGTCTAGACCGCTATGCTACTGTGCTAGCCTGTTAGGCTGCACCCATTTGACGCGCTCGTTGTGTTTTACACGTTGTACTATTAGCAGTATGTAGTAAAAATACCGTGCTGTTGAACTGCATCGAACCAGTCCACCTCGCTTTGCATATCGCATAATGTGAGGTTTGATCACAACGCTGATTTTAGACTACTAAACTTTTAAAAATGTATGAATTTAAATATAATAACTGCAACCATGTTTTTATTATCAAACTCAACAAAGAACTAGAGGTCCACCGCCAAAACTTGTTGTCTCAGTGTTAAAAGTAACGTAAGATGGGAGATACTGCAGTGGTTACCTAAAGGGATCTGCAGCCGTGTGTGCGCGCGCTTGCGGTCCACCTCCACTCAGATTCCGATATTTATTGATGCTAAATGCCGGTGTATTGATGTGCTGGATTACCTACTTGATGTGTGGACATAAGAAAAGGCAGGACATGGTGTTTGATAATGATCACTGTTGGAAACATGCCGTCGTTCATTGATGTTTAGTTATTTGCACATATTATGTTGTCTCGTGATTCTTATTAAACTTTTTATTTATTTTCTCTATTTCATTTCCTATGAACTTTCCTGTGCAACCGTGACGTCAGGGTTTCTCAATGAAGGCCTTCAGTAATCTGATTACTTTGGTTTAGTTAGTGGTCAACAGCGCCCACGGGGCCTGAGGCAGAGCGCGGTACTGCAGCACAGAACAAATGGTTTCTACTGCAGCGTTACACTACGTGCCGCTGAGCAGTTATTGGGTATAAGATGAACCCTGTTCTTCACACACGGTTCTCTTGCAGACTTGAAGTTGTTTGTCATGTTGTTCCTCTACTCTCTCAGCCCACGTTCCTGGTGGAGCTGTCTAAAGTGTTGGCGAACCCCGGTAACACTCAAGTGGCTCGAGTGGCCGCCGGTCTGCAGGTGAAGAACTCTCTGACCTCCAAAGACCCAGACGTGAAGACTCAGTACCAGCAGAGATGGCTGGCCATCGACGCAAACGCTCGCCGAGAGATCAAGAACTACGTAAGGATGGCAGGCTCCTCCCCGCAACGTCTCTCTTTCGTCGCTGTCCTCTCATCCGTCTCCTCTCTGTCCACCAGGTTTTACAGACTCTGGGTACAGAGACGTACCGGCCCAGCTCGGCCTCGCAGTGCGTCGCCGGCATCGCCTGTGCCGAGATCCCCGTCAACCAGTGGCCCGAGCTGATCCCCCAGCTGGTGGCCAACGTCACGGACCCCTCCAGCACGGAGCACATGAAGGAGTCCACGCTGGAGGCAATTGGCTACATCTGCCAGGACATTGTGAGTGACACCCCCCAACAAACTCTCCTCTCTTCACAAATCACACCCGCTGACCTCCTCGTTCCCTTCAGGACCCGGAGCAGCTGCAGGAGAACGGCAATCAGATCCTTACGGCCATCATCCAGGGCATGAGGAAGGAGGAGCCCAGCAACAACGTGAAGCTGGCAGCCACCAACGCGCTGCTCAACTCGCTGGAGTTTACAAAGGCCAACTTTGACAAGGAGGTAAGCGCCTGTCTCTTCTTAGTCAGAACGCTCCTCCTGGGCCGGCCCCTTTGGGAGGAGTTCAACCGGTCTGGTGTTTCAGCTTCAGCGGACCAAACGCTGTTGCGACGTCGCCGATAAAAGACTCAAATTACGACATTCAGGTAGAGAAGCGCAGAAGAGGAACCAAGGAGGAAGTTGTTTTATTTTGACGGTGCCTATAGTTTTAATGTGAAAGGACTTCCTGCCTGTGTTTCAGACGGAGAGACACTTCATCATGCAAGTGGTGTGTGAAGCGACGCAGTGTCCCGACACCAGAGTGAGTAACGTCTCCATGGTGACTGATGAAACGTTGTTTGTGGGCGTGTCCTGACGATGTGTTCACTGTCCAGGTGCGTGTGGCGGCCTTACAGAACCTGGTGAAGATCATGTCTCTGTACTACCAGTACATGGAGACCTACATGGGCCCGGCTCTGTTCGCGGTGAGAACTCCTTTCTGTTAAACATCAAAACCAAACATCTCAAGGTGCAAAACGAGAGTAGACCTCAACGTCTTCAGTTCAGAAGAACTACACAATCTATTCTAAACAGCCAACATGTCGCAAGTGGCACCAGTGTTATGAATAATAAATCCAGCCTCTGCTGTTTTCCTTTTAGTCACACGACTCGGACAGATTGACTTTATAGTTTCACCAAAGAGCTCAGAATTTAATGATTTTGAGAGAATCCGATTAAAGCGATTGGTTTATTAGAGATTTTAAATGAGTCGCTTGGGATGAGATGTTTTCTGAAATAAGATGGATATAGAATTGTAAAGAAATATAAAAAGCTTCATTCTGGTTTGTTTCTGTCAAAGCGTTTGTCACACGATGTGTTTAATGACTGTCGGAGGGATGATGATGAATAATGAATGTAATCGTTTTGCTGAAGATTTTGGCCTAAACTGCTGCGCTCGCTTGCTTCCCCTCAGATCACCATCGAGGCGATGAAGAGCGATATCGATGAAGTGGCCTTGCAGGGCATCGAGTTCTGGTCCAACGTGTGTGACGAGGAGATGGATCTGGCCATCGAGGCCTCAGAGGTCTGTGTAAGCGGACTTTAACCCTTCAGAACCCCAGGTCCAGGTTGTGTGGCCCCACCCCCTTTGACCGTCTCTTGTCCAATGGCAGGCCTCAGAGCAGGGACGGCCCCCCGAGCACACCAGTAAATTCTATGCCAAAGGGGCCCTACAGTACCTGGTCCCCATCCTGACCCAGACCCTCACCAAACAAGTGAGTGTTTGAAGGGCATCTTCATGTCGCTCTTTAACTGAGCCACTTACTTGGACCTGTACGCTCTCAGGACGAGAACGACGACGATGACGACTGGAACCCCTGTAAGGCAGCGGGCGTGTGTCTCATGCTGCTGGCCACCTGCTGTGAGGACGACGTGGTTCCTCACGTGCTGCCGTTCATCAAAGAACACATCAAACACCCCGACTGGCGCTACAGAGACGCCTCCGTCATGGCCTTTGGATCCATCCTGGAAGGACCGGAACTCAACCAACTCAAGCCCCTGGTCATACAGGTCAGTGCGCTGGTGGACCCTCGGTACTACTCTTAGCTAGGCCAAATGAAACAGGGATGCAAACGGCACGCTTTCCGGTGCCTCCCGCTTCTTTCACCTCAGTTTGTGTGAATCGTGCAGTGATTCGCACGCCAACAGCTGACCAACAACATTGCCCGGCTGTCAAGTGTCACGCGTTGAGCGTCACTCATTTCAGTCTTCAGTCACACACAAAAATCTGACTTCCTCTTCAACCCCCCGTTGGCCGTAGCGTCCGTAGCGTATGGATATTTGCCGCCAGGCGACCATACATGTGTTTGCATCCCTGATTAAACCGCCATCGGCGCGACAACATCAACAGAAAAACTTTGACTTACCAGTTGAATGTTTTCCAGGCAAAATACGACTCGATCCGTACGAATCTCACAAGGGTTTCCTTAATTATGACCCCTAAATGATTAATTTAGGTCGAGGTTCCAGGTCGACGTGGCGCCGGGGTAGAGAGGGTTCGCCGGTTCGAGCCCCGGCTGCCCCATGTCGAAGTGTCCCTCAGCAAGACACCTGACCCCTAATTGCTCCCCGGGCTAGAAAGTAAAAAGCCACGTGTTAAAAATGTATTCGCTTTGGATAAAAGGGTCCGCTAAAGGACCTGTAATGTAGACCTTGTGGTTGCAGAGAGATACTTTTATTATGGATATGCAACCCGGTAGTAAGGTGAGTCTCTAACTAGTTACCCTGGTCGTCGCCAGGCGATGCCCACCCTGATCGAGCTGATGAAGGACCCCAGCGTGGTGGTCAGAGACACCACGGCCTGGACGGTGGGGAGGATCTGTGAGCTGCTGCCCGAGGCGGCGATCAACGAGGTGTACCTGGCGCCCCTTCTGCAGTGCCTGATCGAGGGCCTGGGGGCGGAGCCTAGGGTGGCTTCCAACGTCTGCTGGGTGAGCTGTGAGGCCACGTGACCTTTAACAGTGACGTAAATCAGTGGGAGACTTGTGCTTGCAGTGAGAGTGCGCACACATGTTGGAGGTTAACACAACCCCCCCCACCCCCCCCGTCTGCAGGCATTCTCGTCTTTAGCTGAAGCAGCCTATGAGGCCACGGATGCTGCAGAGGACCAGGAGGAGCCCAGCACCTACTGTCTGTCCTCGTCCTTTGAGATCATCGTACAGAAGCTCCTGGAGACCACAGACCGGTACAGAGGTCCACATTCGGTCTGATGTTGAATCCATATCTGCCCCCTTGGAATAAGTGTAGATAATGGATCTATTACTCATTAGGCCTTTGGGTGAATATTTGTCGACCGTGTTGCTGTAGCTCTGATGGTGGTGATGATGCTTCCTCCTACAGACCCGACGGCCACCAGAACAACCTGCGCTCTGCCGCCTACGAGGCTCTGATGGAGATCGTGAAGAACAGCGCTAAGGACTGTTACCCCGCGGTGCAGAAGACCACCCTGGTCATTATGGAGCGGCTACAGCACGTCCTTCAGATGGAGGTGAGAAGATCTAACCTCTGATTCACGTGGTTAATGTTCCGCTGGCTCCTTAAAGTGACCCTTGGCGGGTCCAGATAAAGAAATGAGATCTATGGCCAACAAGTAGAAATGCAGTTTACTAAGTAGGAGGCGGGTGAAGAAGAGGGTCTGCTCTGTGGTTCCATGTTGTATCTGAAGGTGACGTGGGGTTGGTCCGTGATGATAACATGCACCACGCTGACTGTGATGACAAACCCTACCACGATTATCTGAGACCTCCACACGCCTTCCATTCAATCGCTCCCTGTGGCCATCAATAGATGAATGCTGTGCGTCCTGTGTAACGATGTCACTTCCTGTGCCCCCCAGTCTCACATCCAGAGCACGTCTGACAGAATCCAGTTCAACGACCTGCAGTCGCTGCTGTGTGCCACTCTGCAGGTGAGGCCGGCCTGCCCATCATGCTCTTACTGCAGCGGTGTCTACGCTTTAGTGTCACTTCCTGTGTGTGTGTGTTGCAGAACGTGCTGCGTAAAGTGCAGCATCAGGACGCCCTTCAGATCTCAGACGTGGTGATGGCGTCATTACTGAGGATGTTTCAGAGCACCGCCGGCTCCGGGGGGGTCCAGGAGGACGCTCTGATGGCAGTGTCCACTCTGGTGGAAGGTACACGCTCGCGCGCTCACACGCTCACCATGCAAACCAGGGTTGTTAATGTTGGTCTGTTTGTTTCAGTTCTGGGCAGCGACTTCCAGAAATACATGGACGCCTTTCAAGCCTTTCCTGGGCATCGGCCTGAAGAACTACGCAGAGTATCAGGTCAGTGTCCACCGCCGGGAACCAGCCCCCTGCTGTGCGTCTGATTGGTCCGTGATGATAACATGCACCACGCTGACCGTGATGACAAAACCAACCACAATTATCTGAGACCTCCACACGTCACATTCTGTAGTTTGAGAGATTGAGTCGGGGGGCTACATGATGATGATGTTGTTACAGGTGTGTCTGGCAGCCGTGGGTTTGGTGTGTGACCTGTGCAGAGCTCTGATGTCCAACATCCTGCCTTACTGTGACGAGATGATGCAGCTGCTGCTGGAGAACCTCGGGGTGAGGAGGAGGAGGGGGGGGGGGGGGGGAGGGGTCTTGTGTATTAATGAGTTTCTTGGTCCATGATGATAAACATGCACCACGCTGACTGTGATGACACAACAACCACGTTTATCTGAGACCTCTTGTAGCTCCTTAGTAACCGTAGACACCTGAGCCCATGCCTCCCCCTGGACGCTAACCCCCCCCCTCCCCTCTGTTCTCCAGAATGAGAATGTCCATCGCTCCGTTAAGCCTCAGATCCTCTCGGCCTTCGGAGACATTGCTTTGGCCATCGGGGGGGAGTTCAAGAAGTACCTGGACATCGTCCTGGACACGCTGCAGCAGGCCTCCCAGGCCCAGGTGGACAAGGTAACCGTGGTGACGGGTCTGTGTGGTAACCGCGGTGACGAAGCATGGTTGATTCCACATGTGTGGGTTTGTCTCTAGACGGACTACGACATGGTGGACTACCTGAACGAGCTGCGGGAGGGCTGCCTGGAGGCCTACACCGGCATCATCCAGGGCCTGAAGGGGGACCAGGAGAACGTGCACCGTAAGATCACATGACCGGGGGAGGGGGTGTCGACGTCGGTTCCTCCTCCTGACTGCAGTGGATCAGGAGGATTTTACGAGGTCGTAGAGTAACGAGTCTGTTTCACCCAGAGAGCTTCAGGCCACGGCTTCGCTCACGGCTTCCTGGTTTTGCGAGACTCTATAAAATAAAGCAGCGTGTTGATGATGAATGTTCTGCTCCTGAATTGTTTTCACCTCCTTCTGATGCTCGTCCTTCTGGTCCCGTAGCGGACGTGATGCTCGTGCAGCCGCGGGTGGAGTTCATCCTCTCATTCATCCACCACATAGCCGAGGACGAAGACCACTCTGACGGAGTGGTAGCAAACGCCGCCGGGCTCATCGGGTGAGGTTTGATTAGTGCTTCCCAGTAACCACGGCAACCCCAACACGCTGTGTTTGTAATCTGTTTTGGCACTGAGCAGCTGTTGGCGTAACCGGGGCCCTGCTTTGGGTTCACCTGTTGCCGTGGAGACCGTGACAAACAGCCGATGGATGTTGGGTCGATGAGAAGAAATGATGCACCACTCAACATCTGAGACCGAACCAGAAGAAAGTTCTGGTTCTGCTGATTGACGTCTGTCCTTTCTCCTGTGCGTGTGCTTGCTCAGCGACCTGTGCGCCGCCTTCGGTAAAGACGTGATGAAGCTGGTGGAGGTCCGTCCGCTCATCAACGACCTGCTGACGGAGGGACGGCGCTCCAAGACCACAAAGACCAAGACGCTGGCCACCTGGGCCACCAAGGAGCTCCGTAAGCTCAAGAGTCAGGCCTGGTGAGACACGCACTTCTCAAAGATATTTGAACAGATCAGCTTCCCGTTTCACAATAAAAGCACGTCTAACATTTACTGATCAATAATCCGGTTCTCCTCAGATGGTTGCGGTCGGTTTGAGGCACCCTGAGGTGGACGAGGACAAACTGCCCCCTGCTGGATTTAAGTCGTCTGTCTTTGATCCGGTCAAAGCAGAAGTGACGTGAGACGAGTGTGAGAGCGAGAGACAATGACATCACACCACCGCCCCGGCCCCTCCCCCCGCTCACTCACACACACACACACACACACACGCGCACACACACACACCCCTCTTGTGAGGGGGTTAGTTCAAACCACGACGAGAACGATAAACTGAGCCGACGTCTGGAAAACTTTAGATTTGTGTTGCTCTTATCTTTCTTCTTCCTGCAAGCACTGAGGTGACGGAGAAGCCTCCACCCGTTCTGCTCGCCGCTCTTATCCGAAAAAACGCACTAAAAGTCCTACAAAGTAAAAGAGTGCCAAATGGAGAACTCGAGGAGTGGAAATGAGCTGCTAGTTTTCATTTCCCTGCTGCACTTGTTTTGGGGGAAAAGGGTCACCACCATTTTTGCTTGTTTGAAAAGAAGAAAAAATTGAAGTTTGTAAAAGGTTATATTTTTCCATTGCTACGGTGAAATAAAGTGAAGAGAAAAAGACTTTAAAATTATCTAAAACATTCCCAAAGCAGTTCTGGTGATTTGGGTGTTTACGCCACAAACAACCATGTTGTTGTTTAACTCACCTGGTGGTTTGTTTGGTAGCAGCGGCCTCGTCTCAGCGCTTCACCTTCCGTCTGGGGACCATGAACGCAACACTTCCTGGTTCTCAGAACCAAGTTCTCATCCAGTTGAAAGTGAAGACCAGCAGAGCTTTTTCTTGTGGAGCTGCTTCCGCGCCGTGAGGAGGAGGAGGGACTTCCTGTGTTGACATGATGGACATGGACACTTGATTACTGAATTGTGAATCATTTAAAGTCAATCTGCTTTTTATTTCAACTTTAGTGATCTAATAAAGTCTATATTGTACTGAATGTTGTGCAGATGCTTCTTGGGGACCATGATACACCAGAGTAGTATTACACATTTATTCAATTATTATTATAATTGCCATACAAATGTGTGTCTCAGTTGTGTAGAACATGTCCGATATTAATGGAGAGACCTGCGGTAGTGACCGAGTCTTGTACCACCGACCAGACCAGTTAATCGATCAGCGCTGATCGATTACTTCTCATCGCCGAGGATGAGTCGGTAGGAAGCTAACCGCAACGGGTATGTTAATACCCGGGTGGGTATTAACATCTCTCCGTGTCCGCGGAGTCTCCACCGTCACCAACCGATGCGTGGCTGTGGGTGTTCCGTCGGTCAGCCCGGTTAGCTTAGCATGGAGGAGCTAGTTGTCTTTAGCTCGGCATCGGTGTATTTATATCGCTCTTATGTGAAAGCGCAGCTCGCTTAGCTAGCTACAGCTAGCTCTGTAGCCGTTAGCTTAGCTGGATACAATTCGCTCTGTAGCCGTTAGTTGCCGTTAGCTTAGCTGGCTACAATTAGCTCTGTAGCCGTTAGCTTAGCTGGATACAATTTGCTCTGTAGCCGTTAGTTGCCGTTAGCTTAGCTGGATACAATTTGCTCTGTAGCCGTTAGTTGCCGTTAGCTTAGCTGGCTACAGTTGGCTCTGTAGCCGTTAGTTGCCGTTAGCTTAGCTGGCTACAGTTAGCTCTGTAGCCGTTAGCTTAGCTGCCGTCAGCTGTCAGGATGAATGACGCGGGACAAGAAATGTCTCCGGACTTCGTCTTCATGCGTCTCGTGTCCGCGGCGGAGTACGACCGACTGCTACAGCCGGACCACCGGATGTCGGGGAGCGGCGGCCGCGGGCCCGTTAAAGCTGCAGCGGGTCGGTTTGAGAGGGGCCCCAGCGGCCCCCCGCCGGACCTCGGCTCGGCATCCCCGCGTTACAGCTCTCCTCTCCCCGGGAAAGGTGAGCTGGCCGGCGGGCTGGTGATGACGCAGGCCTCGCAGTCTCCGGAGGACTTCGCCGTGGCGGCGCAGCGGTTCGTGGACTATCCGGTTCATCCCGGGTCCGGAGGGCAGCTGATGGTGTTTAAGAACCTGCTGCGGTTCGGAGATCAGATTCCGGAGACCCAGGGGGAGAGACCGCATCTAGACTCTGGATCCGCTGCCGGCAGCACTACAGCTGGTCCCGGACCTGGAGGTGGGAAGGACCGGAGCTTTTACTGCGTTCCCTCTGCAGAGGAGAACCTGCAGCCGCCGGTCCTCCAATGGCACCCTGTCCTGGGATTATCCAAGGGGTCCCCGACCTCCCAGCTGGACGACCTGGCTATGGACCCTGAGTCCGGGGCGGTCCTCCGACACCGCCTGGCTAAGTGGCCCCCGGGCCTGCTAAAGCCCAGTAGGGACTACTGCTCCGGGGAAGATGACCCGGTTCTGACCGTAGCACGGAGGCTGGATCAGCTGGGTGAGGGGGCCGAGGAAGGAGGGGGTTTGGCAGGTGAGACGGCGCTGCCGCTCTCCCAGTGCTCTTGTCACAGTTTCCTGTCCGGGAGGTCGGGGGTCACTGGGCCTTCCGAGAATCCGAGTGAGACCAGTGACGCCTTGCTGGTTCTAGAAGGTCTGGATTTTGAGGGTCCAGGGGGAGGAGGGGACTCTTGGAAGGGGGATAGGGTGGGGGGAGTCCTGGGGGGGGACGGGCCTGTGTTCTCCAGTGGGACCCTGAGCGGTCTGATGCAGCAGGTCCACAGACTGGCGCAGGAGGCGGGTCTGTGCACCAACCAGCACTGCCAGTCATCCCTGGTGAACCTCGGTGCCACAGTTCCCACCCCCTGCAATGCAGACTCCCACCCCAGCATCCGGTACCAGTCCAGCTCCCAGAGCTGTGCCACCACCCCAAAACTTGGTGGGGCCTTGGGGGTGACTGGGTGGCCCTCCTCCCCCCTGGTGGTCCTGGAGGAAGGGTTCGGAGGTGAGGAGCAGACGCAGCAGAGAAAGTCCAAGAAGGGGGGCTCCCTGAAGGCCCGACTTAGTAAGCTGTTCAGAACCAGGAGCTCGGGAGGAGGGGGGGACAGGAGGCCCTCCTTGGCTTCTTCAAACTCGTCAGGGGGAAGTCTCCTGGACGTGTGGGGGTCCATCTCCAGCAACAAGGAGTCCGACGGCAGCAGGTGAGGTCATACTTGTTACCACGGCAACGCTTTGTTCCTGTGACGAGGATGATGATGATGAACCTCTTCTCTCTTCACTAGGCTTCAGATCTCCAAACCTCACCGTGACTTTACACCTGCTTTCACTGGTAAGTGTGTGTGTGTGTGTCACATGTACAGACATCTGTGATAGATCAGTGCTTGTACACGCATGTAGTCCAGTGTGTGAGGTCAAGGGTTAAATATCTCAGCTCTGACACACTAAAGGTCGCCGCGTGTTTCTGCGTCTTCACGTGTCGACGCGCACCTTTCACTTCCTGGTTGTAAAGTCCTGCGTGTGTTGCAGAGCGATTCACCTCCAGAACAACAGGTGGAGTCACGTGTTTTGTTGAAGACGACCTGGAGAGTCACGTCTTTGTGTGTGGAAGTCGCTGGTTGCTTTATTTATGTATCATAGACTTTATTGCCCCGTGCATCCACACTGCTGCTTTTCATCACGGACACATTTGTCCCGTATTTTCCTCCACGACTTTGTTCCCCTCGTTTGTGGAGATCTCCCTCCATGAATCAGAGGCCATCCGGCGTCCTCATAGTCCGCCAATGACGGCTTGTACAAGCGCTCATATTTAAAAGCTCTTCAGTCTGATCCGTTCTCTGGTAAACGTTCTTCCTTTTAATAACGGCCGTATTGTGCTGTGAAAACGGAGACGTGAGACTCCGTAAAGGACGTAGTCAGAGACCAATCACAGCCTGGTGCTGCAGGAGGCTGCGTCGCTTTAGACGCACACAAGGGGCTCTTGAGTCTCTCTGAAAACGCAGACGCATAAACTAGGCTTGACTTAACTTGTGTGTGTGTCTCCAGGTGACACGGTGTCTCTGGTTGATGTGGATATTTCTTGGAAGGGGTTGAGCTTTGTTCACCCTCCCACATCCCTCCGCCCTCCCAGGCGGAGCCTCAGTCTGCTTGGTACTTTTTCTCTTCTTCTCTTTGTGTCTGCTGTTGTCACTTCCTGTGTATGTCCCACCGCCGTCCTCAGGTCAGTCACATCACATTACAGGTCATTTAGCGGACCCTTTTATCCAAAGCGACTTACATTTTTAACACGTGGCTTTTTACATTTGTGCCCGGGGAGCAATGAGGGGTTGGGTGTCTTGCTCAGGGGCCTCTACCCCTGCGGCACTACGACCCCGCGTGAATAACGTTTGTCCGTCTCTTGTAGATGACTTTGGTGGTCCGTTAACGGGCGTGTCCATGCAGTCCCTGCCCCCCCTACCGGTGGATCTGCCCCCATCTCTCAGCAGCATCCAACACAGCCTGAGCCTCAACGGTACCACACACACAGACACACACCACCGGGAACCTAGAGAATGAGCAATTTACTGTGTGTGTGTGTGTGTGTGTGTGTGTGTGTGTGTGTGTGTGTGTGTGTGTGTGTGTCACAGACACCTTCATGAGGGCTCTGCCAAGGCTGGTCCCCCAACGTCCCGGCACCCCTCCCAGACTGGGCGCCCCCTGTCCCCTGGGTCCACCCGACAGCTTTGCCTCCAGCCTCAGAGAGCTTGAGAAGGTGAGAGGTCACAGGTGTGACGTCCCACTCAAATAGAACGTAGAACAAGGACTGAGCAGCGTGTGTCTGCCTTAGTGGGGCTGGTACTGGGGTCCTATGAACTGGGAAGATGCGGAGCTGAAGCTGAGAGGGAAACCAGACGGGTCGTTTCTGGTTCGGGACTCTTCAGACCCAAAATACATCCTGAGCCTGAGCTTCAGGTCCCAGAAGGTCACACACCACACCCGCATGGAGCACTACCGAGGTACACACACCACACCCGCATGGAGCACTACCGAGGTACACACACACACACCCGCATGGAGCACTACCGAGGTACACACACACACCCGCATGGAGCACTACCGAGGTACACACACACACCCGCATGGAGCACTACCGAGGTACACACACACCCGCATGGAGCACTACCGAGGTACACACACACACACCCGCATGGAACACTACCGAGGTACTCACACACACACACACCCCCACGGAGCACTACCGAGGTACACACACACACACACACCATGTAGCACTACCGAGGTACACACACCACACCCGCATGGAGCACTACCGAGGTACACACACACACACCCGCTTGGATCTTTACCGATGTACACACACACACACACCCCCGTGGAGCAGTACCGAGGTACACACCCCCCCACCCCACCTGGCGCCCTGCCGGAGGTAATTGAACCACACCCGGCTGGAAGTTCTGCGAAGAGATCCAATCTACACGCCCCATGGCGCTCTCTCGGAGTGCATACGCTGCCCCCCCACAGGACCTCGCGCGAGTTGACTACACAATACAAACCACCCCGGA